CAACAATAGTTGTGCAGAACTTTAGCAAAGATGGCACTAGAAGTAGATATGGGACAATATTTTTTTGCTGCAGCTCCAGGTGTATTTCTCTGCTACTTGAGCATGAGGCTACGAATTAGTGGTTGTATTTTGCTTAGGCTCGTTCCTAAGTCTCAGTTCTCATTAAAAAAAAAAAAAACTGCCAAGCCAAAAAATACTTATTTTGAATGGAGGAACTATACTAATCAAAATTCCATAAAACTTAACCACAGACATTCATATTTTAATATGCGGTCCCAAGAGTTTCCAAGTGGTAGTGGGCATGACATAAAACACTTGAGATCCCAAGAGGTCTGAGGTTCAAACCCCGTCAGGAGCACTTTAAGTACTGCCTATTTTGGCTGGCAGCCAGGATGCCAGAGGCAGTCCCGAGAGGTCAGCTTGCAGCCCAAGAGGGCGCGTAACAGAGGCGTGCACGCGTAGAGTCTTTCCCTAATAGTAGTATCCGCTTCCCCTATTAGACCCCACAAATATAATAGCCTAGGATACCTATAATGGTATATCAAAAAAAAAAAAAAAACTATTCAGTCAACCAAGTCATAAATCCATAGTCGTTCATGTCCCCCTCTATCCCAAAACAATACAATGTGTGAACAAATCACGACTGATGAGTCCATATCCGTTACCCCCAGTGGATCGGCCCATTACTCGATCCTAGGGTTTAACCGCCTCTGGTATGGCGGCATGTTAGTACTAACCCTAGTGGGAATCGGATGTTAGCGAGGTCTATAAATAGAGACCATTATTCCACAATAAAGGTACGCAATCTCGGCTATCAAATTAATATAGACGCAATCCTATTTTCTGACTTAGGCTTCGGAGTGTCTACCATCGGGAGACGCCCGAGGTTTTGTTTTGCAGGAAACCCTAACCGGAGTTCCACCCTATACCGGCGGTATAATTCCAGGTATCGTCAACGACTATTTTTGTGGGAGAGGGAATATATGATAAGTTGATAACTACTATCCAGAAAATCAAAAGTATATACACACTTAAACTAAAATTGATGAAAAAGTTTGTGAAAGTTACCAAGTTACATAATAAGAGATCATTCACTTTACGCATACTTCAGTACGGAAACAACGGGAGACTGCTACATACTTCCTGGTGGAGATAACTCAGGGAGAATGGAATCTCTTCCAAAGGTTTTTTTTTTTTTTTTTGATAACGCTGGGAACCCCCCCAGAGATGGGTAAACCCCCGCCCACTGCAATAGTATATAAACTAGAGTGGGAGGTAAACCACCCTAGGCAAGCCCTGGGTGACAAGCTCAGGTGTGAGATCGGGGGTTCATTAGTGGGTTAGCCATAACAAGCCCTTAGAGGTTTCAATAGACAAGGTGAGAACCAACCCCTCACTTTTTGTTGGAGTGGGGGATTGAACTCATGACCTATTGTTAGAGCAAGGGTGGTTTTACCACTGAACCAACTCCTCATTTGCTAATCTCTTCCAAAGTTAACCTTACGTTCCCACAACTTATGGTGTCCCCAACTTATAGTGCAAACCAGATTTTTTGTTGTCAAATTTCCAGCAGCAAAAGGATATTGTGGAGACTGCCTTGCAACATCAACTGGATTTCTGGCAACAGAGAGCCAAAGTGAATTGGTCACTACAAAGTGATAGGAATACGAAGTATTTTCGTAGGTGGGCAACAAAAAAAAAAGGCAACAAATGGATTACAGAGTTACAAGATGGAAATGATGTTTGGATTCAGGATTAGTCACAACTGGCATCTCTCATCCAGAATAATTTTCAAGACATCTATGTTTCTCCTTCCACAACACACAGTCACTCATCTCCTTTTTTTCATTCTCTCTTAGACAGAGTTAAGGAATGTGTCACCTCTAATCAAAAGGAGGCTTTGAGGCAACCTTTCACAAAAAAAGAGATTGGGCTAGCTAGTAAATAGATGGCTCCATGGAAGTCTCTTGGGCCAAATGGCACTCCAGCGGGATTCTACCAGAAATATAAAACTAGTATCAGTTCAGATCTAGAACATTCCATTCTGGAAGCTATGTCTTCACAGTAGTTTCCTATGGAGTGGAACCAAATCTTCCTGGCTCTAATCCCTAAGGTCACCAACCCATCCATGCCAGGTGATCTCAGACCTATCAGCCTCTGCAATACAAAATATAAGATTATTACAAAAATGATCACAAAAAAGCTCAAGGAAGTGATGAAGGATTTAATCGATGAACATCAAAATGGATTTGTTCAAGGGCGCAACATCACTGAAAACATACTGATTGCACATGAGTTAGTGGAACATATTCGTAGGAACTCTGGACCAAAGAGCTCAGCGGCTCTCAAACTGGATATGAGTAAGTCTTATGATCGGGTTTCCTGGCAGTTTCTTAGACAAATGCTCACTAAAGTTGGTCTTCCTCATAACCTGATACCACTCATCATGTTTTGTGTCTCTACTGTTTCCTATTCTATTAAATTCAATGGAGACAATCAGCTTTTCTTTTCTCCTATAAGAGTTTTAACACATGGTTACCTGCTATCACCCTATCTATTCATCCAGTGTCAACAAGTTTTGTCCTCGGCAATTCAGGTGGAGAATAGAAATTTCTCAGGGCTTGGCAAAATATGTAGACAGGCACCAAGGGTGAGTCATTTGATGTATGCGGAAGATAGTCTGTAAGGAGGAATCTATTTTGTTGAATGTAAGGAGGAATCTATTTTGGCACTGGTAGGTATCATTGAGGATTATGCATCATTTTCAGGACAGAAAATCAACTTCACTAAGTCCTCAATACCTCTTAGTCCAAATACCCCGTCTCAATTGAAGTCCTTTATCCACTCAACTTTGACTATTCCAGAAGGAAATTTTCAGAGTCGATACTTGGGCATGTCTTTGGATTTTACGAAGAAGAAGGCTATCTTTCAGCACTTTACCTCTAAGTTCTTCAACAAATTTGCGGATTGGAAGACTAAGTTGCTTTCACTCAGTGGCAGAATCACACTAGCCAAAGTATCATTAGCCTCAATGCTGGTTTATCCTATGGGAGTTTTTCAACTTCCAGCAGATACAATTCATAAAGCTGAAGCTATCATTGCTCGTTTCATCTGGAAAGGGGATTTACAAGACAAAGGAGTACACTGGAAGTCATGGAAGAAGTTGAGTAAATCACAATTCCATGGTGGTTTAGGTCTAAAGTCACTCAAAGAATTCAATCAAGCTTTGTTGGCCAAACACGCATGGAAGATCCTGTCTCAACCTACTTCACTGATTTCCCGACTGTATAGAGCAAAATATTGTAACAATGGAGTATTCCCTTCCACCAGACCACCCTGACATTCTACTTGGGGGTACAAAAGTATTTTGTGGGGTGCAGCACTTCTTCAATCCAATGTCAAATAGAAAGTGGTCTCTGGGAAGGACATTCATGTGACCGATGATTGGATTCCACCACACCCAAATTCAATACAGCCAACCTCCTTGTTTGTCAATCACTCAGATCTGAGAGTCAAGGATCTCATCCGGGATAATGTTTAGTGGAAGCTTCTGGTCCTTAAGAATATCTTCACTGAGTCATTAATCCCTTTCATCACAGGTATCTTCATTGATCCAGAAAAGTCTTATCATCTGAATAAGTTACTATGGACTAAAGAACATCATGGTAATTACACGGTGAAATCTGGATATCATGAAGCTCTCAACCTACATAATTCACCACCGGCACCAAATACAATTCCACCAATAGTTTGGAAAAAACTATGGAATTCTCGTGTTCAACCACGACAAAAAATGCTGTTCTGGAGAGCTTTGAAAAATGCACTGCCAACCAGAACGACACTTCAAAGAAGGGGAACCGTATCCTCAACAGAATGTCCCCGATGTCTTATAGCTGCAGAGGACTCTCTCCACCTTTTTCTTGATTGTCCACAATCCAGAGATATATGGAGACTGACGCTACCAGTTTTTTCTAATGTGTCCACCCAGTCTATAACATCCTTAGCAGATTTGTTTTATCAATGGATTCAATCAGGACCTTCGGCTTTTGATCTGGACCTTTCCTTTATGATCTGCTGGTGGATTTGGTTAGGGAGGAATGACAAAATCTGGAGGAACTAGAATCCTCAGGTGGTGGCTCAGTGGAGTCTTATCCAACATGAATTCTAATCGCATAGGAATAGATATAGCAGACGGAGGAGATCCACTCCACAGACCACCTCTCAAGTACGGCAAGAAGTGGATCATGCGACTATTCTAATAGATGGTTCTTTTGATCCAATCTCTCGATGTGATTATGCAGACGAAGGCCCCAACATTGCAAGTTTTAACTCCTTTTCAATCGGAGGTTTAACTTGTTTTTTGGCATTACGTGAAGCTTCTAATTTTGGAATCACTAGGGTGAAGGTTTTTACAGACTGTGAGATGCTAACTCTTGATCTCACACAAATACCAATCCCGACAGAGGCTCAAGAAATCGTTGCCTTATTATATAATCTAATTTTGAGTTTTTTGTTTTGTAAAATTTTTAAAACTAGTAGGCGAGAAGTTGATGAAATCTATAAATTAGCATATAACAAAATGCGTTGTAATAGAATAGGTTCTTAATATAAATAGGAACCCTTTTTTTTCAAAAAAAAAAATCTTACGTTCCACGACTTTTTGAGTTTTGACCTAAGACGGCGATCGAAAAAAAAAGGTGCCAAAGAACCGAGGAGATAAATCGAGTTCCTCGTCAATGGTTTCAAGTCATATTATGGATTTCATTCATAATGACCCTACGCATTCATCAAATTCGAATGAACTTATTTGCATCACTACAAATGTAAATATATTCATACTAGATGAACTGAAAAACTGATCAAACTCGAAACCAAAAAGCAAAAGAAATAAACTGCAACCAAGAAATAAATAGGGATGTTATGATTTTTTAAAAGAAAAATAATAATACTAAGAAAAAGAACTATCCATTTTTCAAATCAACAACAAAAAGATCCACTAATTAATTTAACACCTTGATTCGTTTTCTTCTTCCTCCTCCTTTGTTGCTATCATCATGTAAGGTGTTAGATTCTTGTATCCTCTTTCTGCCATGTTCACACGAAGGCCGAGGTGGGACGAGAGTGTGAGTAAATAGACATCCGCGGCGAATAGATTCAAGATTAGATGGTCTAAAATGTTTGGTTAAAAAACCTCCCCCAACCAAGTTAAGAGCGTCTATTACCCAAGGTTTGAGATTTGCTGACCTCCTATCATACCATACTAGGTTCGTGCCATCAACATAACATTGCTTATTACCAGTTCCACAAGGATGTCCAATAAAACTTGGATACAAATCCCAATTCCTAACATCCAACCTCAATCTCCTCCAAGAATCTCTCACCCCATACTCTTCCATTATCCATAAATGACTCATATCAAATGTCATTCTACGAACTAAGGTAAGACAACCATTGGAAACTCCCAACTCCCAAGACTGAGTAGCCGAAAAAACATCATCATCAGGCGGCGAAACGAGATGAGACTTGTGAGTTCTAACGTCGAGAGCCACGATGGATTTCAAATTCTTGTCTGATGAAATATCCCATCGCCGGTCTAGCATCACCCAATGTAGAGCATTGTGAATCAAAATTCCAGGCCCGATTTCGAGTTCACAAGGGTCGAGCTCAACAAAATCAGGGAAGGTATCGGGTGGGAGACACTTCCAAGAATTGGATTTCAAGCTATACATTTTAATCTCCTGACCAACTCGTGTTCTAATAGGAGAATCATCTCCGCGAAGATGAATATCGAAAATCTCAACCAATCTCACCACTTTGTAATCATTGCGAGTTTCATCATAGAAAAAACCATACTCAATCCTATCCATTCGCTAGTAATTAGGAGTCATCATCATCATCTTCGCGCGATCATCTATAGGACAATTAGGCAATCTCCAATGCTTATTCGTAGTTGGATTCCATAAAATAGCCTTAGGTTTAAATTTGTCCCGATAAGTTAAGCAAATCAACCCATTACAAGATCCTTTATATGCGAGGGCATTTTTGTTGTTGAGATCCTGATCATGATCATCAGCGTCTTTACAATTCTCAGGAAGTGTAAAAGGGTAACGAGTTTTTACCATGGTAGATTCTATTTCTTCCGGCGAATCGAATTCTGCGAGATATGGAGAACATGGTCCTTCTTTTGCAGCTTTAGCATCGAATACTATTTGAACTGACGACAGCGCCGGCGCCGGCGATGATTGACGACTGCAGAGGAAGTGTGATTCTATGAAAGTTTCATCTTCGATCAGAGTTCTCCATGATCTTGACACGGCCCTTAAAATCCACAGTTGTTTCGCTAGAATCCTAACCAACACCTCTGCCAACAGATCTTCAGGAAGGTTGTTCCACATTATTTTCTCTCACAAAATTAGGGAGAGAAAATCAAATTCTTTCAGATGCTGATGCTACAAGTCGCAATTGTGTATCTTTTTATATCCCAATAAATGGTCTACATTGTTTTTTGATGATAAATACAAATCTCAAAGTTCGATTTGGATTATTATTATTTTTTTTTGTGGAACCAAAAGAGGATTTGAATAGGTTTCCATATATGCACATTTCGGAATTGTAATTGGTGTTCCTTTTCGGAAATGAACAGAATAATTATTAACAAAGATTATAAAAATCCTCCCGCTAAATATGGGAACACTTTGACCACAATATCATGTTACAATTTTCGTTAAGAGTGCACTAGACAATAAGTTCAGGACGGAAAGAGTACTTAGGACTTTAATATAAAAGTACATCTGTCATCCCTTAGCTAAAGATTTTTTTTCTTTTTCTTTTGGAAGGCAGTGAGAAAATTTTTTTTTCCAGGGACAAATAAGTGAAATAACTCCTTTACCCTTTTTAGTATACAACAACAATAATCCCTCTTCTGCGGCTAACCGATTTCCCTGCATAAAATTTTCCTCCCTCTCTCTGTCCTTAGGTTCCTCTTTTTCTCTCAAAAACTTCACGAGAAAGTGGGAAACCTCCTCAATTGCCTGTCATCACCACCACCGTCATCATCATTACCACCGTCACCACTTACCATTGCCTTTTTTTTTTAATGCTTTTACTTTTCTCCACACGCAAACACATATACAATTATTTGACTAGCACAACCTTGCTTTGCTAGATTTTCGTATCCTTACCGCAACTACTTTTTCTTTGGGGGAAAAAAAAATTGGTTTGAGAAAGTTGAAAGAAATCATTCAAATTGACTTTGATAATTCTATTCATAGAAAAAGTTTTGATAGAAGGATTCCTCTGTTTTTTAATGGTTGTGTGTTTTGCGATTCTGCCACCACACCCCATGGCAGCCATCCAACATTATATATCTCTCGCCGGATTTTGTAATTGAGGGTATTGAGAGATTTTGGAATTAAGGGCTAGAGGGATGGATAGAAAAAAGTATCCAATTGGCGTTGAACATTACACCCTTTACGAAGAGGTTGGAACAGGGGTGAGCGCTTCCGTCCACCGGGCTCTATGTATTCCGTACAATGAGATCGTTGCCATCAAAATTCTCGACTTCGAACGGGACAATTGTGATCTGGTAATTTTTGTTATTTTTTAATTGAGCATCTATTGTATACCGAATGTTTCAAGATTTATTGTTATTCTTTTGTTTCTCATGTTCTATTGAAATTCACAACTTTTGCATGATGTCTAATTCTCTTCAATTGTTGTATGTTTGGGCATTTATCGAAAATTATATCATTGCACAATAAGATTATGATTGGTTTGGTGTGTCTGACATAGGGGGAGTAATGTTGATGGCAGTGGTGGCATACATGATTTTCTACCATAAACAGTAGAACTTTGTAGAATCCTACACATGCATAGGGAATTTAGAAAAAAATTGAAAACAATTGTTCAACTGAAAAGTCCAACTTTGTTGGGATGAAATAGGTGAAATTAGACAAAACACCCACACCAAAAAACAAAAAAAAAAAAAAAAAACTTGTCTCGGCTTTTATTATTCAAATTTCTCTTTTATGGTTTAGTGTTAAAAAAAAAAAAAAAAAAAACTTCTTTTGTCTCAGCTTTCTTTGATTCAAATGTCTCTTTTATGGTTCAGTGAGATATCATGATATATTATCACATGTAGGAAATTCAAACAATTATCTGTATAACTGATAGTGTAGGACAAAGACTTTAAACTAAGGGAAAGTTTTTTGGATGTTTTGTTGGTTTTAAGATATGTTAACTAGATCATCTAGCTAACTTGCAAAATTTTTGTATTGTCTGTGCAGAATAATATATCTCGAGAAGCTCAAACGATGGTGTTAGTTGACCATCCAAACGTTCTTAAGTCACACTGCTCCTTTGTTAGTGATCATACTTTATGGGTTGTAATGCCTTATATGGCTGGGGGTTCATGTCTTCACATATTAAAGGCAGTACATCCTGATGGATTTGAGGAGGTGGTTATTGCAACTGTGCTTCGTGAAGTTTTAAAGGGTTTGGATTACCTCCATAGTCACGGGCACATTCATCGTGATGTAAAGGTCAGTTGTCATTTTATTACATAATTTACCCCTTGCATACATGTTTCTTCCCACCAATTTTTACTGTTTGGTTCAGTGTATTGTCATTAGTTTTGAATAAATATGTGAAATTGAATCAATAATCAATTTCTTGTTTTGTTTTGATTCTTTTAGGCTGGAAATATTCTCCTTGATTCTCGTGGGGGAATCAAGTTGGGAGATTTTGGAGTCTCTGCTTGCTTATTTGATTCAGGTGATAGGCAACGCATGAGGAATACATTTGTCGGGACTCCTTGTTGGTATGAAAATCTAAAAGGACATAACCTTTCCAAATTTTTGTTTAGTTCAACAATTGCATTATTGTTTATTTGATTTATCAATCTTGGTAATGGAGAGATTTTTGAAAGATATCTAAAACCATCCAAAGTCCTTAATGTGATAACATAGTTTATCAAGTCGAGTTTTATCAATAGAAGGTTAGTATTTTTCATTTTGGTTTTAGTTTACTTGACATTTGTTTGTAATTCTATAGGATGGCGCCTGAGGTTATGGAGCAATTGCATGGTTATGATTTCAAGTCTGTATATCTACTTGTAGCATTTTGTTTCTAATTTTGAATTCATCTCGTATCCTAAACTTGACTTGGTTTATTAATCTTGAAGAGCTGATATTTGGTCATTTGGTATAACTGCTTTGGAGCTTGCTCATGGACATGCTCCTTTCTCAAAATACCCACCAATGAAGGTATACTTATATGATAATGTTAGTTCTTTCCATCATCGAAACAAATATGTCTATGAACTAACAGTGAATTCATAATAAAAGGTTTTGCTTATGACTTTGCAAAATGCACCCCCTGGTCTTGATTACGAGAGAGACAAAAAATTCTCAAAGGTATATAATTTTACAAATTGTGTAGTATTGTATTGCATTTTCCCTTGAAAATTTTCTCTAATGTGCTTTTTTTTTTTGTTATTAGTCTTTTAAGCAGATGATTGCTAGTTGTTTGGTAAAAGATCCAACCAAACGACCATCAGCCAAAAAGTTATTGAAACATCCTTTTTTCAAACAAGCTAGGTCAAATGATTATATTGCAAGAACACTCTTGGACGGTCTTCCTGCTCTTGGTGATAGGCTTCAGGCACTAAAGGTACATGGATTGTTGAGTTTAAAATTATATATTTAAAAGCAATTATTTCGATTTTTGTGGTATTTTGTTTATGACAATTCTACCTTGTTAATTATAGATAAAGGAACAAGATATGCTAGCACAAAAGAAAATACCAGATGGCCAGAAAGAAGAAATGTCACAGGTTTGAATTTTGATCTATTGCAAAATATTCTCAACACTTATGGTTGAACTTAGTGTTAGGAAATTAGTAATGCATTTTTGTATTTGTGTCCTTGTCTCCCATGAGGCATGCTCAAAATCATGCAACTTGATTATAGATATTTCTCAAGATTAATTATCATAATATGAATGTATGTATATCTCTTTGCTTCAATACCAAAATTCTTAATTTTCAAGAGTCGGTGTATATAATGTTTTCGTGTGTGACTGGATTATGTAGCTGTATTCGTTGGAAGTTTCTTTCCTGCAATTTTTTTTCAATCATTCTCGACTTACAATAGTTGATGTGTTTTAAACATATGCAGAATGAATATAAACGTGGTATTAGCGGTTGGAACTTTGACCTTGAAGACATGAAGGCTCAGGCTTCCTTGGTAGAGTAGAGTTCTACATTTTTCATATTCTATTATGGAATCTCTTGTTAACAATATCATCTAATCAATGTCTTTTGTCATTGTGTTCACTTTAGATCCAAGATGAAGATACCATCTCTGAAAAAGGAAGTTCAAGTTCTATCTCGAGTCTTGATGCACATGGCAAACAGTTCCAACGACAATCGTCTTCTGCCAGCCAGTATCAACGTCAATTATCCTCAGCAAGCCAATATTCAGACCCTGCTGATCTAGTAGGATCTCCTGCTCTTCTTTACTTGAATTAGTATATAATGTAGATGTGCACTCTAGTACCAATGACCTAATGCTATGCAGGATGAAAGTAATCAACATGCTCATTCCTTGGTTGATTATACAGCAGCTCATAACATGTACGTAATTGTTCCAATTGTTTTCTTATGTTGTTTTGATTATCTATGTTCTTCGATCCTGTTCCCTTGGGCCAGTTTATAAGTTTGCTACTTGCTACTCCAAATTTAATTCGAGTCATTCTGAACTTGGATATTATACATGTAAGTTTTGTGTTCTTATTTAATGTAATGTTCTATGTAGAGCCAAAAGGGGAGAATCCGATGATGATGCAAGCATTTCTAGTTCAATACATGACCATCAAAATGACTTTCGTATTGAATCTAACCATTTGGGGAAACCAGAACCGGAGGCCAATGGAAAGTTATTGGACAATTTGGCTTCAAATTCTCATCTTAGGTATATTTACTTTAGTGAACATTTACATGCAGTCAAGGTCATTACAAATAAGCATTTATGTGTATGAAGTTTCCTGTCATTTTGTATTAGTTGTCTCTTATGTAAAAATGTTTACTCTTCTTTAAATTTTTTAGCTTTTAATCTCAAAAATGAAATTTGATATCACTCTGTACTACAGTGATAATCTTCATCAATCTAATGATGTGCATTCGGAGACCAGCTCTAAAGCTTCCAAACAATCAGGCAAGTTCGAACAACTTTTTAAAATTTCAATGTGTATAATATATATATATATATATATATACATATATATATATATATTTTAATTTCCGAACCAACTAACCTTGTAAACTTTTTTTACTTTGTATTGATACTCCTAAAGTGGGGAATAATGATGAACTAGATGAGAAAACAAAAATTCATATTGTACAGCAAAAAGGACGTTTCAAGGTTACATCAGAAAATGTGGACTTTGAAAAGGTGATTTTCCAATCTTGATTAGAACTTTTATTTTGACGTTTGCAATTGCTCTTAAACTTCTATGGCTTTAAACAGGTTTCTCCTTCGCCAATTCTACAAAAAAGCCATAGCATGCAGGTTAGTTTACTAGTTGATTGCGTAGGAATGTATAGAGTTGTTTCAGATCGTGTACTCCCTTGATGCTGCATAAGAAAGTAAGGCATTACGTTGGTTTCTATAATGACATTATGGATGATTCTGTAGGTGATTTCCCAAGCCCAATACCCAGGTGTATCTGTTCCAGTTGTTCAAACTGAGCCTATGGTTGCTACACCAGCAAATACCGTTGCCAACCATTGTATGTATCCAATGTTGCAATCTGTTTTGCAAGCAAATATTGTCCAAAGGGTATGAACTAACTTTAAACATATCATCTTTTTGAGAACTTACTTCGAACTTTTGAAGTTGATGGCACTTCAATCCATCTCAACAGGAGAGTATTTTGGGTCTTATGAGGCAACTGTGTATTGGGGAAACCACAGGTAGGTGAACCTTTAGCAAATTAAGATGGTTTCACCTCTTGCTTGAAAACAAAAAAATAAAAATAAAAATTAGTTACTAGAAAATTGATATGTATTTATTTATAACGCAGATGGAGGATCGACGACAGCAAATCCAATAGTAGATAAATCACCGGTATGTAAACATATTAGATTTTAGCAAAGTCGAGTAAGACAGAGCTTCAAAGCTAGCTAATTTCCACTTTTCTTGTGATATTGTAGTCTATTTATGTCTAAGCATTATTTTCCTTCTGCACATTAGCTGGAAGCGGCTCACGATCGGGAAAAGGAATTGCTTCGGGAAGTTACGGATTTGCAATGGAGGTATGTATTACTATTATCATAAAATTCAAAGTTTCTGTAGGATTAGCATCAACTCAAAATATCAATTGAAACTAATGTACTTTACATTGTGTAGGCTTATATGTGCCCGAGAAGAGCTTCAAAAGTACAAAACAGAACATGCACACGACTGAATTTTGAACTAGATTTGGTATACTTTTGTTATTTGGTATAGTTTGGTCATTGCTGATGAGATTTAGCATAATATTTTTGGCTTGGATATGTTTTTTTCTTTTCAAGCATCTACCCATACGTGATGCCAATTTTGTTAAGCTTTTAGCCCTTAAGTACTAGTTGAAAGAGGCATATGTGAGGGAAAAGTAGATAGACAATCAAAGTTGGCATATTCTTGTATAGTAACTGTAAAAACCTATAGGTTGTGTACAAATTCGCTGGAATTGGCTTTATGCATTTTCTTTTCAAAACAAAACCTAAAATGAATACTCCCTTCAGTCCCAAATATGATAAGTAACAGAACCATTTTGGGATGAAGGAAATAGTCAATTTGGGATCTATATTTCCTTTGAATTATGATTTGTCAAAGGGACTATTCTCATCCAGCTTGTATGTACTTGTTATCATTGTTACTTTCATGTTGAGAATCTTCAAATCAAGTGGGATCAAACATTAAAGATGCACAAGATGCATATTTAAGAGAATTTTGGATTCCCAGTTTGACTAAATTACCACCATTTTTTGTCAACTTGCCAGTACATTAAATTATTGAAATGAATGAACAATTGATTGAACTGGACAAAGATGGTTAGAAATAAGAGTAGTAACCATGGTCAGGTTCATAACCTCAAAATAAACCCCATCAACACGGGCTGCCTCCTGAATCAATCATGTCCACTAGCCTTTCTAATTGATTCATTCGTCCTCAACTAAACACGACACACACACACACACACACACACACACACACACACACACACTGTACACTTGACATAAAGTAAAATAGTCGCCGAGAACAACGTTATCAAATAATTATCAAGTATTTCGTTCAACGACCAAAGTTTATAAGAGACTTATTCTCTTTGTCCAAAAATATTGTATAATTTAAATTTTTAATTTTAGTTAAACATGAAAAACGAAACTGAATCATTCAGTTTCAGGACGGAAAGAGTATTATTTTGTTATATAATTTAAATTCTGAGAATGTGTATAATTATTTTACAAGTTCAGTTCACATGTATACAATATTAAAAGAGGCGTGTGACAAAAAAAATATCGCTAAACACCAGCCATGTTGCGAAATGGGATGAGTTTTGTAAGCCCACAAATGGAAGTAAGGTACAAATTACACGCTTCTTCTTTGCCGTGTAGTTAGTTAAATGAGTGATTTTGATTGAACAAATGATAGTTACTCATCGACTTCAAGCATATGGAAACCATAAAGCTTTAAATACTTTTTAAGGTTCATCATCGAAAACCTCCACATGTAAACGGCACTTCCCCAGACAGTGAGAAATCATGCGAAGTACTTTCTACTTCGGGGGACTTTGTTTTTTGATCTTATCATAGTATTGTATACACAATTGAGTATAGCTTAAGACATCCAATTTGCTTTGTTAATTGAAAGCTACCTAGCATTGAATACTGAGATGAAAGTTCTTCATAGTACATTGTATAATGCGTATTTGAGAGACTTGATCTTTTTTTTTTTTTAAGATTTTTGTGTCTCGATCATGTCTTTTTACTGTTGAAAATTTTGAAATTTATAACATTTTATCATCAAATAAATAAAAAAAAAAACAGCAATTTTGTTAATTAACCTTTTTATTCAACAAGTTAAACTTCAGACTCTCACTACAAAAGAAAATTATTTTTTTTTTCAACATATTGCTACCCCTTCCCATTTGGGGAGAAAGGAAATATGCTACTAGAGAGTTGATTTTACAGTTGTTCATATTGACAGATTAGCTATCAAAATCCATCAACAATTGGTTTCAATATCAGCCGTTGGGAAGTAAACCGATCACGACAAATTCAATGAATGATTAATTTTTACAGTTGATTTGATTTCTTGATTTCACCCAACCATGTTTACTTGTATAAAAGTTAATCACTGCATCTTCAAAAAATTAGTAGTTTAAATCATCAATCATTATATTACCTTGTTTGGTAGTTTTTTTAAAATTATTTATTTATTTATTTGTTATTTGGTATACATTCTGAGGTGGGTTTTTTTTTTTTTTGACAAAGAGATATAATTCATTAAACATTAAAATTCAAGTTACAGACCGACAATTCAAGCTGGTTCACATGGATTTTTTTTCTCCTCAATAAGAAAGTGGAGATTGAATTGAAAATTGTTGGAAAACATCCAACGGGAATTAATTGACAAAGTTCAGAACAATGGAACGACTGGTTTCTAATTTAATTAGCTTGAATAATGTAATATTGGGATAATCTTGATTAAGGTCGACATTATAATACATTGTTATACTCTTTCCATTCGGAACAAATATGAAATTCTTTAAAAGACAGAGCGAGTAAATTTTTAAAATGCATAAATTTCGATATTATCTATAAGTAATATGTCCACCCAATAACATAATTTTCAAACTCGGCTTTTGGTTTTTGGTTTATGGATGGAAAGACACTGGTCACTGAATTCAGATACTCCCTCTGTACCAAAATTATTATACAGTTTGAGATTTTATTTTTAGTATAATTTGAACTAAAAATGAAAGTCCAAACTGGACAATAATTATGAGAGGAAAGGAGGACTTCTTTTTTTCTTTAAATGCATTATTTGAATCCACCTGCGTATAGACAATACATTTTGGTGTAATAATCGGAGGAAGATTTTTTATCTCCAAACATCACGGAGGTTGGTTGTAAACCCGTATAGAAAACTTGTTCAATTATTTTTCTCTTGAGATCCAAAGCTACCCATTAATTTGTTTATAATGGTTTAATCTTTACGGTAGCAAATCAAAATCTTGACTCTTGATTGATACGTTTCGGGTCGATTTTAACAGGAAAACCATAGTTTGAGAGAATGTTTACGTCGTATAATATGTGTATCAACATTAGTCACAAGATCGCATCTTTTCGAAGTGAATAGACTGTCTGAAAGCTTCTTCTTTTTTTTTTTTTTTTTGACAATCAAACCAGTTAATTAATTATTATTGGGGGTCTGAAAGCTTTAATTATCATTACTTCTCCTGCTTTCAGATTTTTGTTGCTTCTTTATTTTTTTTTTTCTTTTTCTTCTTTCTTTCTTTTTTTTTTTTTTTTGCCTTTTCCCTCTGTGCTTCGTCATAAGTAGAAAATAATGATAAACGCTTGGTCGTAAACCATTTTCCTGTTTGCTATTTTGAGGAAAGAAAAGATAAAAATTGTCAATAAAGTTTTGATTAAAAATCAACGGACCAACATAAGCTGGACACGATTAAGACATAATTAGGTCGACAACTACGTGAAAACTATCCACACGCCGGCATGAGCCCATCGTTAATTAATGTCGATTTTGAAACTCTACAAACTTGGTGTATTTGGAAAAATTACTTTGCACATTTACATTTTGGTGATTGTTAATGCTTAGTTAAAATGAGGTGAACTATTTAGGAATGAATGCTGGCATTGTGAATGGAATTTGGGAGTGTTGTAGCGAGCCTGAGTGGTTGAGATAAGGCGCGTTTTTTGGGAAGTAAATTTTGTGGACGATTATTTGGTTTCCTTTGCAACAAGAGGGCCGGGAGGGTTACAATGGTTGAGGGATCCACCTTTGAGAGCCAAATCGTAGTTAGAACATAATATGATCGGGATGACATACCCTCGTAATATACTCATTTGATTTTAGATATTTAGCCTCCTTTATTGTAAAAAAAAAAAAGAGAGAGAGAGAAAATAAAAAGCAAAAAATGAACAAATAAGATGAATATTGAGAATTTCTCTAGTTGTACATGCAAATGCAATTTGTAAAGTGAAAATAAATAACGAAGAAAAGTGTAAGTGAACATTTTTTCTGTTCTTAAAAAAAATTATCAATTTTTTTGAATAAAAATTGTAAAATCTGGTGAATTATATTTTTGAGATGAATAGAGTATTGCAAACACACAGGGGGGAAAAAAAAAGTGTTCTTCCCAGCCACGTCGAATCTGTTGAAATGAGCAAGTTTCCACATGTTAGCCTAAAAGTCAAGAATATAGTTATTAATTACCCAAAATAGAATACTCGCTTAAAAGAGAATTAAATGTATTATATTTGTTAAAAAGTGTAAAATCGTATGTATTCCTTCTTCATCATCATTGTGATATTCAGTAAATTTCTGTATCCCACGAAATCATGTACTCAATCGGCATGTAGACGTTGATGCCCTCACAGTTGTCTTCAAAACGAAAAACTGCTGAACCAAATTGAGAAAAGAGTTGTATTTTCTGAAACAAATACATTTCATTCAAATCTGAATTAATCTCGGACATTGAATCCTTAATATTCCAAAAAGTTAAAGGCAAAATTGGGAAATATGCACCCTTGTTTTTTGATATTATCTGGGGAATTCTAAGTTTGTCAAAACGGCTTCTGTAATTAAAACCATTTGGAGTGAAGCTCCAACTTTTGTATTTCAATCGGAGCTGGATTGTTTTCAATTATCTTTAATGAAAGTTTTTTTCTATAAAAAAAAAACATAACCAGCAAATATTGATAAAAACACAAACAAACTTAATTCTTTTCATAAAAATGACAGGATCGACCTTTATGCCCAAAAAAAAAAAAAATGGAGGTGGTGACAGTTCATTAATTTGTCTGAATTTCCAAACATCGATCGCAGTCGCATGATCAATAAAGCTTTAACCAAACGGGTCTGAAAATAAAGCTTTAGCCAAACGGGTGAATTTATTCAGACCAGAAAGGGGGGAAAAGTGTGACTCTTAACTGCCTACATAACTTTTTCACAAACAAAAAAAAAAAACTGCCTACATAAAAAAAGAAATTGATTACTTTTGTCAAAGCATAATGTGAAGGTATGGGATGTCAATTATGGGGTAACTCTTTCATTAAAAAAAATAAAATTACATTAAATCTTTATAAGCATATGTTCATTTGCTGAATTTTGAAAAACGTTGTACACAATCAAATAATTATCCACCCAATAAATGAAGAACACGTAATTTCAAAGCTTGTTTTTTGGTTTTTGGTTTATGGTTGGAAGAAAACAGATCACTGAACAGTTTAGTTTGTGTCACATAATTTAAATCCACCACACAAAATTTGACACTACATTTGTGTCATAATTGAAGGAAAGACTAAAATGATCTCCAAACATCGTGGACACTATTTCTATAACCGAAATGCTAGCCGGATATAATATATCAATGTTAAAATGATTGTTCGTTTTATTATATTATTTTTCCTGGGTTTATTATAAAACAGTAAATCGGATTATTATTTTAAAATGAAGGAATAAATAAAGAGACAAGATTTAATGGTAAATACCAAAGTGAAATAATGGTTCGCTTTTTTCATATGAAATCTCCAAACCTATATCATATACACTTCATCTTTGGCACCCACCAATCGATCTGTTTCCTAATTAAATGATCACGTTTTGATTAATGTTGTATAGACGCATAGTTGTATCAACACATCTATACGTAAGAAGGTTGAGTTAGTTATAAGTTATGTATATAACTATATAAAATTAGAAGAAAAGAAAAAGGGAAATAAAATCTTCCTATTTTCGCCCTGACTGATAATGTCTAGTTTAGCATTAATTATGTGAAATTATTTGCATGACGACCAAAAAATTATTATAAACTTTGAAAAACCTCATACTCTACAGTCTACAATAATACATTGTGATTTTGCAATGCCCTCAACCAAACTCAGGTCATTAATTGTCACGCATGAGTGGCTATTGTTGAAAATTTAACGGAACCTTGACGGAAAGCCATAAATATAATTTGTCAACTTATGTGAACATAGTTAATAAATTATTTTGAACTTAAAAGTATAGTCCACGATGTTCCAAAATTTTAGTCCAATTTAAACTATAAATGAAAACTCAAACTGTACAATAATTATAAGACGGAAGGAGTATTACTTTCTTCAATCGCAATATAGGCTCTATATATGGAGAACTTTCGTTTGGAATAACGGACCTGTAACATATATAAAAAATTACACAGATAGAAAAAAAAAAAAAGAGAGATTTAATTTGCAACTGCCCACATAGTCATGGCAAATCTTAATGACGATGTACACAACATGATGAGGATAAAATAATCAACTTTTGCACATGTAACATCACATCCATTTAATTCATTTGTAAAATTCTGTTTAACTGTACGTAATCCAATTATCTCGTAGGCCATGATATATACTACCATAAATATTAAATACATACTAAATGTTGAACTCATACATATATATCTGATCGTATTTGATGACCATATTGCCCACACCAAGTTGGTCCTCAACACGAACAACCAAAGCAAATTGCATTGCCTGCATGCTTGATTTCACCTGCTTTTCAATTTCGCCATCTCAAGAAGTCGGGAAAATTGTCCTAGCTGTTACACTTAATGGACAAATAATTGTTGAGTGAAAAGGAATTTATTATCCCAATTAAGATCGATTAGTTTGAATGTAATATATGAGCATTGTCAACAATCAATTTCCGTAATGGGCTTATATGAGTAAAATAAAGTTATGCAAATTCATTAATGTGTCTGAATTTCCAAACATCTTAATTAGTTCCATGATTAAAAGGCTATAGCCATATATAGGGTGTTGAAAAGATTTAATTGGCGCAGAAAGTGGAAAGAAATGAAAAAGAAAAATGTGACTCTTAACTACTTGGAGCAAAAGCACGTGAAATTGTGCTGGAAACAAAAAAAATATTGATTACTTTGTGAAAGCAAAATGTGAAAGTATGGAGGATGTCGAGTATGTATGGGGGAAACCCTTTTCTTTTCAGTTTCTATTAAGTTGTTCTAAACGATGAGAAAAAAAAAAAAGGGGGTTGAATGGTAACCTATTTTCAAGATATTATGTTGATTTTAATCTCTTAAAAAGCATTTTGAAGGTGTCCCTGAGTTCTGAGATGATAGTTCGAAGTAATAAGAATATTGCCAAGGATACATCAAACAATTGTGCTAGTATTTTGGGGCAATATTATTGTTTTTGGTGTGTGGCAATGCTACTCCGGGTGCTATTTACTAGATGTCATGTGATACATAGAATTTGAGTAATTTGTCCCAAATTAAATATGGAACTAAGAAGAACTTTGATTGAGGCACTTATCCAACTTAAAACGCTTCACCATCTTCAACCCAAATAATACTCCTTTTATTCAATTTTAGATTTCACCGAGCTAATCAGTTTAATAAATTAAATTTATTGAACTGTGTTACAAGAATTATTAAAATGAAACGAAATAGTATACGTGTCACACGAAAAACTAAGCCCAACTCCAATGGTAGATACTAATTTTTATTCCACGGATTTTTATTTTTTTTCAAAAAAAGAGTTCAACATCAATTCATTCATCATGAAACAATTGAAAGTCAATGATAAAGTTTGAGAATTCCCATATTATGCAGTTACCAAAGCACTGTGAACCATATTGAAGAGAAGTGGTAATAAATTTTGTGGCTTTCCCAATACACATTGAAGTGAGGCCTAAACCAAGATAAAGGAGAATGGGGAGAAAGGAAAAACAGCAAAATGCAATGAACGAAGGCAAAATATGATACAGCAAACGTTGATTAAATTAAACAGAATGTCCGAGCTTATAAGGCAGTTAGGTAAGGAAACTGTTACATTGGTGGTTCTGCTGCCCTTTTCTGGAGTCTGCGGTCCCCTTTCACCTCTGCTGTAAAGCTTAAGCATCGCCACAAATTTTATGATTTTTTGTTGTGAATTCAAGCACAATTCAAAAGAACCCACAAAAGCAAGAAAACAAAGAAAAATCATACTAGATTGAACAAGGGAACATGCTAATAAAATGTTTGTAGCATTTACCCATCAAAAACCATCACCATCTCCCATTGTAATCCACTTCTTTCTTACTGTTATCTACCTTGAATGACCATATCCCTCTCTTAATTAATTTTGTTTGGCAAATGTAAAGTGTGATGTTGCCGCAACTAACAACTGTCTTCTATTAAAGTTCCACTCTTGGGGCTTTAATAGGAATGGGGGAGATATTGAACAAGTCAATGGTGTTCTAGTTGTGATTGGGTGTGTTGTCAATTTTAGCAGGTGGGGTTTTGGAAAAAACTGCAAATCCTATGCACTTTGAAAAGAGTTTTGATTGATTGGCAGGGGCAGTAAAAAGGGGTCTGTTTTGCTGAGTTCAGATATCTCATTCTTGTTTTTTTCTTGAAACTATATAAGTACAGTATGAAGAAGCCAAAATAGAAAGAGTGGCCAAACCAGCAGAAAGGGAGCTTCATTTGCTTCTCTTGTTGGCTACATTTACTTCTTCCTCCTACTCCCAACACTTTTGCAGTGTATCAAAATCTGATCTTTTTGTTCTTTACTTAGACAGCTTCCTTCTTTGGAGGCATTTTTGTTATTATTTAGAGGTCTCATTGGCCTCGTTTTCATTCTGTTGTGAATTTGAGGCTAAGGCTAATTAATTGAATATGGAGGCCATTCAACAAAGTAAAGCCCTCAAAGATAAAATTATTGTTTCTCCAGGGAAAAGGGATGCTCCCCTGTTTGCCTGGCCATGGGAGAACTTCGGGAATTACAAGGTTTGCATCTACCAATCATGTCTTTTGTTGTTATTGGAAAGTGTTTTAGCTTTATTTGATGTTTTCTATCAAAAAGATTACTTGGGTTTATGGATTCATGGATTGCTTCTTGATTCTGTGCGTTCATGCATTGGATTGCAGTACTTGTTTTACGTGGCAATTCTTGCAAAATACTTCCATTGGACAAGAGAGTTGGAGACTTGGGATACCAACTGGTGCTTTCATATCCTGCTCTTGTGTGGCCTGAGATGTTTAGTTCATCAGTTGTGGAGCACTTACACCGGCATGCTTTTTCTTAATGGCAATCGCCGGATTTCTCAAGATGGCGTAGATTTTGAGCAAATTGATGCAGAATGGCATTGGTACCCCAAAAAAAAAAAAAAAAAAATCTTTCCTGCTGTCCTTTTAATCTACAGTTGTGTCCCTTCCTTTCTTATTTCCTTTGTATAAAAAGTGTGAATACTGATACCATTTTTGATATGTCTGGACAGGGATAATTTTATAATTCTTCAAGCTATAGGAGGTATATTGGCCTATTGGAGCATCCCATCTTTATACAATCTTCCTTTGTGGGATGGAAGGGGTTTTATTTGTTGTTTGGTACTCCATATTGGAGTATCAGAGCCCTTGTATTATTGGGTACATAGATTGTTACATAGCCCTAATTTCTTCACAAATTTCCATTGGTTACATCACAGTACCAAAGTTTTACATTCATTTTCAGGTAAGAGATAATGATGCGCCCATTTTTATCTGCAGTTGATGGTCAATCTAAGAACTTTTTCTAAGCGAATGTTCATTTCTTTCTTGCAGCTGGACAAGCAACATTTCTTGAACATTTGATACTTTGCGTAGTCGTAGGAGTGCCGACTTTGGTAACTGCTCTCATTGGCTATGGATCAATAAGCATGATGTACAGTTACTTAGTGGTTTTTGATTTCCTAAGATGCTTGGGACACAGCAATGTCGAAGTTATCTCACATCATCTTTTTGATACTGTTCCATTTCTCAAGTATCTCATCTATACGCCCACGTAAGTCGATATCTCTTACTGTTCCTCAACATCGTTCTCCTGTACTAATTTGATGAGCAATTTGTTCCTTTTCAAATTTGAGTTCATATTGTGAGTTATATTGTTTATTCCATCAGTTTTTTCTCCAAAAAGTGGAGGTGCAATTGTATAGGCCTAATCAGAAAGAGTGCTAGTTATTTAAAGTTGACATTTTGGCCGTCATTATATTCGAAGGGTACATACTTTTTGGTCTGTTAGCCAGTTCAACTTAAGTTGCGGGCAAATGCCATAAGTGGTGTTGGAGGCTCCAAGTTGCTACTTTGATTATCTTGCTGCCAATGACTGAAGTTACTCTGCATTTGCATGTATGCTTATTTCTGCCTCTGCAGATACCACAATATCCATCACATGGATATGCGATCAAATTTTTGTCTCTTCATGCCTATTTATGACATACTGGGGAAGACGATGAACTCACACTATTTGGACATCCATAAAGAAATCACCACGAGGAAAAGTGAGTCTTTCTATCTATAATAATCTAATCCCTCAAAGTTGCTTTCAAATCATCTGAGAACCATAAGTTTAAGATATCGTTGCATTTTCAGCTTCACAATTTAATCTGATTTCCAAATTTAGTCGAACATCTGATGGAAAACTCTGTGCCATTGCTGGATTCACGTTCACTAGTAGCAGATTGGACAGAATGACTTTTACATCTTAGAAGTAATTATGTAGGAAAGATGTCGAATTGACGTCTGAATTGATGATTAATCATCTTAGAAATAATTGTGCCAATGACCTCACCTTTTGAAATATTCTGCCTCAGCTAATCTTTCTTTACCTTGTTGGATGAACAGATGAAAGAGTCCCAGATTTCGTGTTTCTAGCCCATATTGTGGATATAATGTCTGCAATGCACGCTCCATTTGTTTTCCGATCATTCAACTCCACACCTTTCGGCACGCAACTCTTCCTGTTTCCCATGTGGCCTTTCACCTTTTTGGTTATGCTTGCCATGTGGACCAAAGCAAAAACATTTTTGTACACTTTCTACAATCTTAGAGGTAGGTTACACGCAACATGGGTTGTGCCAAGGTTCGGTTTCCAGGTAGATCCTTGCCTCCTTTATGCTGTACTTTTTATAAGATGCCATGACTTCCAAACTTAATCGAGAACTGAAAAATGAGAACATTAGATAATTGCAAAATGAGAAAACTTTTGCTGCAATGAAAAAAGTCAATAATTGGATGTTCAAAATATGCTGTTTCTATTAGCTTCTAAATTTATTGCGGATGGCTAAATAGCTTGAAAACCATTGCATTTTTCTGGCACGATTAGTGGTGGTGTGTAACTTGGTCTTTCTTCATTCGCAGAAGACTTGGTAAATTATCTTAGTGGCAAAATTTGGAATGCTAGAGCATTTATCTATGATGAAATTTTTACTTCTTTTCCCTTTCAGTTTTCATTACCGCTATACATACTTGCCAAGTACAGATATCTACTAAGCATTGCAGCAAAGTTGATTGTGAAGAATGTACCTACAACTTTTCATATCGGTATCTGAAGCTTTTTTGTTGTCACATTTGCAGTATTTCTTACCTTTTGCTGCCGACGGCATAAACAAACACATTGAAGAAGCCATCCTTAGAGCTGATAGACTTGGTGTCAAGGTCATTAGCCTCGCTGCACTAAACAAGGTCGGCCTTTTCCCCTGTTTCTTACATTTCTGTTCATCTGTTCAACCATTGTTTATCTTTTCGACTCATTTTGTGTGATTCTACAGTAGAGCTACCTTAGGAGATGCTAAGTTAATGTGGTTATTGATAGAAAGTAGTAAATAAAGGTTCAAAGTGGTTCAACCATGACAATCTTGAAGTCTGCATAGATGTTCTACATTCTCTTCGCATAAATTTTAAAGTGAATTGCTGATGTTAAGCATCTGGTGCTAGTAATATGCAGTGCATTTTAGCTCTAACTACTACATCCTCCATGTTTGCTGTCTTAACAGAATGAAAGTCTGAATGGAGGTGGAACTCTTTTTGTCAACAAACACCCTGACCTGAGAGTTTCAGTTGTCCATGGAAACACCTTAACTTCTGCTGTGATCCTTCATGAGATCCCTCAGGATGTCGATGAGGTTTTCTTGACAGGTGCAACTTCAAAGTTAGGAAGGGCTATTGCCCTTTACCTAGCCCGCCGTGGGGTCAGAGTTCTTGTAAGTGCTGCTTAATACTTTCTACTTACAGCTGACATGTAAAATTATTGTTTTGTTTGCTGTTTCTCTTGGGTTTATAAAATATTGTGATTTGCACCAATTACGGAAGGTCATGCAAAGATTATCTTCAGAGAATATGAGTGTAAAATCTTGCTAATGTGATCATAGTGTATAATGATATATAATGGGAACATCTGCTGTGCTACATTTTGTTCATACTTTATGGTGATGTCTTGGTTTCTCAAAATTTGATATGAAACTAAAATTAATGCAGATGCTTACACAATCGAAAGAAAGATTTTCAAAAATCCAGAAAGAAGCCCCGGAGGAATTCCAGAAGTTCTTAGTTCAAGTGACCAAGTATGACTCAGCTAAACATTGCAAGGTAATGTGAAGTCACTGTAGAAAAATCTTGAATGAAGGACTTTTGCTCACATATCTACAATGAGCAGCTTGGTGCGAGAGATTAGCTTTCTTTTTATGTTGTCTGAATGGAAGTGTTACCAAATAAGATAATAAGTGAATATGTAGAAAAGTTGAGACTTCACAGCGCACATAACATTTATCCTTTTGATGTTATTTTTGAAATGCCTAGTACTGTATCTGATTGATACTATTGGTATGTTTGAAAACGTTAGACATGGATTATCGGGAAGTGGTCTACCCCTCGAGAACAGAGTTGGGCACCATCAGGAACACATTTTCACCAGTTTGTGGTTCCACCCATCATTCCTTTCCGTAGGGATTGTACTTATGGAGACTTAGCAGCAATGAGGCTTCCGAAAGATGTTGAGGGCTTGGGATCATGTGAGGTAAAAAGACAAATACGACATCTTTCTTTTTTCACTTATTAAGAAAATTATACGTTAGCCTGTTTGAAAGCTATGCAATTTTGATATAGCATTCAGCCATGAAATTGGATTATGGTTTTCTCACTTTCGCTTCTGCAAAACTGCTGCAGTATACGATGGAAAGAGGTGTCGTACATGCATGCCACGCCGGTGGGGTGGTTCATTTCCTAGAAGGTTGGAAACATCACGAAGTGGGAGCTATCGATGTGGATCAGATCGATGTAGTTTGGGAAGCTGCCTTAAGACATGGCCTCAAACCCATGTAGCAGCAGCTAAAGCATGTTGAAGACATTGTAGCTGCTTCTTTCGTATTTGATTACTGGAAAAAGATCAATTTTTTTGCTGCTTCACACATAACACTTTGTTATCCATCTAAAAATAGTTGTTTTGAAAGTAACAGCTAGTAGTTCTGGAGGGATTTGTACCAAATGGAAGAATGTCTGGTACATTGTACCTCAAATTCATCGCAGTTGGAAGTTGGAACTTCATCAACCATATTTTTTAAGTGTAAAGAATTCTCTACCAGACAGAATGTCAATGAAAATATCAAGCGAAAAATGCTTGCTTTTTTACTGAGCCCTCGTTCATATATATGTGAATTTGTTTTCATTCACCAAAATTCCCAGCATATGAATCCATTCCGAGCAACAGGAAGAAATTCACTCTTGGCAGTCGGCAAGAGCACATCAGTGAAGAAGCTTTTTTTTTTTTTTTTTTTTTCTGGAAATCACAATTCAAGCATAAAATAGAAAGCCATAATTGAGAGGAGTCCGTATCCAGTACACCCGGGTGTACCATATACCCCCCACCAAACACACGCGCTACACGCGCTTAACTGTTTTCACCTTTACATTAAATGTACAAATAAAATTGTTTTCATCCATTTTACTGTTTTCATCCTCACGTATAAACACACACAATCGACGGAAACTCTCCATTTTGTGTTTATCCATTAGATCTAAACTTGTTATCCATGCCTTGTTGCGTTTGATATGTGGTTGCGTTTGCATATGGTTTCTTATTCATGCTTTATTGATTATCTATAATTTTGTTACTGATTATCCACTAGATTTGAACTGATTATCCATGTTTTCTGCGTGTGCTATGTGATGGTTGTCCATGTCATAATTATTGGTTATCCACCCATTTCATACTGGTTATCCACAAGTTGTAAACTGGTTATCCAGAAGGTGTAAACTGGTTATCCACAATTTGTAAACTAGTTATCTATACTTTTTTTACATTTGATTCTTGTGTAAACTGGTTATCCACAAGTTGTAAATGGACAGTTTCGCAACCCCCGCCGATTATCACCACCGGCAGGAGAGTCTGTTAATTAAAGAAGCAAACGGCATGTTAATTGGGGAGTTTCGCCCCCCATGATAAACTAAACGACTCCCGCGGCTACCGGAATCGCAGGTCACCAATCTGCCCCGGCTGCGCCGCCCCGCCAAACACGTCAATGTAGCTAAGGTAATCCTTTTTTCGTGTGTGTGTAAGAAGAGTGTGTTATTGCGTTAAGAGGGGACACAAACCGATCGCCAACTTGCCCCGGAGCCTTTCCTTGATCGCTGAACGCCGTCGCCGTCTCAACGACTCGATCACCGTCGGCCGTGTCCTCCTCAACGCCTCGATTGCCGCCTTAACGCCTCGATCGCCACCGGCCGTCACTCAACAATAATACTCCATCACAAAGTTTTCAAAATTTGAATGAATTCGGTAATTTATATATATCGCGTTTAAAAAAAAACCTGAATTATCTAGCGGACTCACGCTATTCTAAGAAAGTAAAGTACATGTGCAGGGTTACACGCCCGGGTGTACAAGATAATTTGCCATTGAGTAAGTCTGGACAACCATTTTACATTTGTTGTGCTTTTCCCAACTTCTTTTGTTCTTATTTATATTTTTTATTGAAGGCCGACCAATCTGTTTTACAAATTCTAGATAATGGCTGCTGGCGATAGAAATTATAGCATAATTGAGGGTTGAAACATTCAAAGTACCACTAAAGGAAGTAACTTTTGGGTACTTTACAGAATTTGACAAACCTAATTAGGTCTATTGCTATAAAACTGCTGAACTAGTGAAGTCTTTCTTCGCGATCTCCCATCAAATATCATGCCCAAAAAAAAAAATGTCCCTTTGGGAACATGATTGTTATGGAGAATTGGCAAAGGCTCATAAGGTTGTTGAGTTTGCACTGGAGAATCTGGAGCTAGTTCTAGGCCAAGAATCATCAAAATGCAGAGTTGTTGTTACAGAGATCGACAGGCAGGAACTTTTGATGCTCTCTAATGATCTCAAATCCTTGATGTTTTTCCTCAAAAGGGTTCAGGGAACTTCTTCCATTCCTGAGATGGTCACAGATTTACTAGCTGAAATTACAACTGTAGTTTGTGAGCACTTAGCTGCCGTTGACTCTTTTCTGTGCAAATGTGCTGGTATAAAGTACGAGAATGAAGATTCTGGCACAGTTGATTTTGTTGAGTCCTGAAAGAGACTCAAACCCTTCCGGTAAAAAAAGTTCATGGAAATTTTTTGGGCGGCGCTTCAAGCCTAATTATTTGGCGATCAAAGTCAAATCTAACGCAAAACAGGTTTTGAACAGCTTAAATCGTGGACAAGTCTGGATGGCTGCAGATATTGATCCTCTCATAGATGAGCACATCCTTGGGCTTAACGATTTGGTAGAGAAGATCAGATTTGTCGAAAAGATGTTTTTAATCTTGCTTTAGATTGGAGGGCTTATAATGAAGGTTCTAAAAACTCTGCTTCTGGAAGCTCATCTGCACCTGATAAAATTTCCACAGGGAAACAGAAGATGGTGATTGGCGTTGATGATGAGGTAAGAGAACTGCTCGACCAACTCCTTGGAGGGTGGCAGAAACTAGAAGTGATTTCCTTGACCGGCATGGGCGGAATCGGTAAGACAACTCTAGCTTACCTATTGTATGATGATCCATCTGTTGTTCTTCATTTTCATTTGCGTGCTAGAACTTCTGTGTCGCAATCTTGTGTGAAGAGCAGGTTGCTGAGTGACATTTTAAGTTCCATTTTGAATCCAAGTCATCCGATTTTTTAAACCAATGGTGAGGATATGGGAGAGAAGCTGTACAAATGCTTAAAAGGGAAAAGGTATTTTATTGTTGTAGATGATCTGTGGGATATTGAATCCTGGAACAGTATTAGTATGTTCTTCCCTGATGATACCAATGGTAGTAGAGTTTTGATCACCACTAGGAACAAGGACTTGGCTTTGAAAATTTCCAAAAATCCCCCTTTTTCTATGAAGTTTTTAACCCCGGAAAAAAGTTGGGATCTTTTTAAGCTCAAAGTATTTGTTGATAGTGAAAGCTTCCCTGAGACATTTATTGAAATAGGAAAAGAAATTGTCAGCCACTGTAAGGGTCTGCCACTCGCGATTGTTGCGATTGCTGGTCTCTTGGATAAAGAAGTCAAGACATTAGAATTGTGGAAAGAAGTAGCTAAGAATATCGGATCCACCCTTCGTGATGGACCAGACAAGTTCATGGATATACTGGAATTAAGTTTCAAGAAGTTGCCTTCTGCCCTAAAGTCTTGCTTCCTTTATGTCGGATCATTTCAGGAAGATTGTGAAATCCCTGCAAAGATGTTGATAAGATCTTGGATTGCCGAGGGATTCAATGAGGGAACTGTTGAAAAGAGATTGGAAGATGTTGCAGAGGATTATCTAATGAACCTGGTTGACAGAAGTCTTTAACAGTTGAGGAAAAAAGATCCAATGGTAGAATAAGATCTTGTCGGGTGCATGACATGTTGAAAGAGTTGTGCCGCTCGAAATCTCAGGAAAAGATATTCCTTCAGCTGATTTGCAAGTGTGGAAAGCAAAAGGTTTCTTGCTATCATACCAGCTTATCTGATTGTCTGTGTTTCAACTTTCGGATCTACTATTTGTCTCGAGTGGAAGTATTCTGCGGTAGAACAAAAATTCGCATGTTTCATCTACTAAAGGTGTTGGACCTCAGGAATGTTGTGTCTGAATACGGATTGAAGGAAGTGTGTAGATTGATTCATTTGACTTATCTGGGAATTCGACTCAGCGGAATTGAGAAATTTCCAGTATTCATATTTCGACTTTGGAGGCTTGAAACCTTCATTCTTGAACTAGAGAAAGGAGGAAGCCTAACCTTAAGTGCTGAAATCTATACCATGAAAAGGCTGAGGCATTTCCATGTTTCTGGAGAAATGGTTTTCAACAACTCGAAGCCAACATACGAAAGGTTTGCAATGAAACCAGGCGTACTATACGAATTTGCAGACAATTTCCCATCTTTCTCCATCAGCTTCTGTCTCACATTTGCTAGCAAGAACTCCTAATCTCCGAAAGTTGGGACTTCATCATACTATAACCAAAAGCAAAAAAAAATTCACCCTTCCTAATCTTTCCCACCTAAGTCACCTTGACACATTGAAGTTCGAATATCAGACTTTGGGGATGATTCCTTTCACCATTCCTGACATAAGAAAGTTCCCTCCAACTTTGAAGAAGCTGACTCTTGTTGGTAGTCATGCTGATTGGACAGAAATGTCAATCATCGGACAGCTCCCAAACCTGGAGGTTCTGAAGATTAAGGACAACTTTTTCAGCGGACCTTTGTGGGAAACAAATGATAATAATGGTTTTCGATGCCTGAAATTCCTGAAACTTTCAAACTTGGATATTCAGAAATGGATTTGCTCTAGTGATCACTTTCTTCAGCTGAGGCGGTTAGTGATAAATGATTGTTTGGATTTGGAGGAAATTCCATCTGATTTGGGAGAACTTCCAACTATGGAGATCATTGAGGTGTATGGATCGGCTGCATCTGTGGCAGAATCAGCAAGGCAAATTCAAGAAGCACAGAGGGACATCTGCAATGAAGATTTCAGGGTCTTTATCTATCCCCAGCGTCTCGAGTAAATACCTTCCATCTTGGTGATGAGAAGAACATTTTCTAGGTTTTTTGTTATAGCAGTCTCGTTTTTGTGTGTGTGTAATAAGGTTTTTAACAAGTCATTCTTTCCCAAAAGAACTGCGTGAATTTAATTTTTCCTTAATCCTAGTTATTCTAGTGTTGGGAGGATGTTTTAGTAAAGTTTTAGGATTCTTGTTTCTGTTGGTTGCTTTTCTTGTAATGGCCCTTCTGAAAAAGGATTACTATATATGATCACTTCAGTGTGATTACTCTATAGTAGTGATTTCGTATTAGTAATCAAATACATTTCCAATTGGTAACGGTGATGTTATGAATATTTCCTCGACGTTCATATAATTATTTTGAGACGGGAGAAAAATCGGTCACATTTCATCCAACCTAGGTAGGGAATAAGACCAATTTCTTAAATTTTGGCGGAGACATGGATACAGATGTAAGCTTGTTCGATTGTGTAATGTGTAAGCACATCCATATTTCACTTGTTTTACTTCCTATTTTTAGGCTATAAGACCAGCTAGAGATCTGCGAATAATCTACCTGATGCTGGCAAATGGCAATAGAAATTAGGGGCCAAAAGCTCTTCCACCACATTTTTCATCCAATTTTCGAAAAACCGAACATTTGTCACACACAATCAGCCGGGGAAAAATTTCATCCAAACTGTTTCCCAAATCACATTCCATCCACTGTGTGTATATAAGTCTCATGCTCTATCTTTGTTTTTCCAACAATCTCAACTAATTATAATTTCATACAGTTTCCAAAAGATACCTTTTGGCATCATCATTTGGCCAAAGTGACAAAATGGATTGCAAGATTCATTTCCTGTTGTGTTTCTTCTTGGTGTTCTGCAGCACTGATGCATTCAACATCACCAAGGTCCTGGACGATCATCCTGATTTCAGCACATTCAACAACTACCTCACTCAAACCCAACTCGCAGCGGCCATCAATTCTCGCGCAACCATCACCGTCTTAGCTGTTGACAATGGCAACATCGGCTCTCTATCAGGAAAACCAACAGAAGTGATCAAGAACATATTGAGTGTACACATAATTCTCGATTATTATGGTGCCACAACGAAATCTGGCAACATGTCGAAGAAAAGTAATATAGTCACCACCCTTTTTCAAACCAGTGGTAAGGCTATTGGCCAACAGGGATTTCTAAACATTACAGAAACCTCTTCTGGTGTTTCAATTGGCTCAGCCGCTAATGGTGCTACACTTGGTACTAATTTGGTCGGTTCCATCTTTGAACAGCCGTATAACCTTTCAGTCTTGCATGTTAGCTCTCCGATCATACCTGCTGGGATCGAGTCCATTAATTCCTCCAAAACATCTCCACCACCCGCGCCTTCCCCAAAGTCGCATTCTCCACGTTCATCTCCAACTCCTTCAATGTCACCATCTGATACATCCCCGCCTACTTCGAAACCACCAAGGCCACAACGCGCTCCAGCAACTTCTCCCCCACAGCCGAATGATCCAACTGCAGTAACTCCAGCTGCCGATGCACCAGCAGCAGATACTCACCATGCTGCAGGGGCCGCGAGACTCAGCCTTGGGGTCACTTTCATGGTTGTTTCACTTTCTTCTGCTATTTCCATGATTTGGTAAAAGTAGAGCTTGGAAGTTGGACCCAACACTTTCGCTCCTTTGTTGAGCTTCAGTTTTGTTTCAAATCATGAATTTTCAATTGGTTGTTTGAATTTCATTTTGAATACAATTTTTTCAAGCATTGGTTTTGCCCCAATCTGTTCACAACTTCTCTGTTACTATTGACTCAATCCTCATATCACCTCTAGCATCATTGCTTCTTGATTAATTGCAATTTCCACGGTAAAAAACGGGCTATAAATTCAGGAAGCTTATGTGAAAACAACTATTGCTGACAAAGAATATACTATAGAACCTGTCTTATGTCTAATAATTTTTTTTCATTTGCCTAGCAAAGAAATATAAATATGATAATGCAAACAGTTACAACAAGAAGAAAAGATCAATGCAATCAGATCAATCCGAAAAGAACCATGAACCATCTCACTAGAAGGATGTGTAATGTGCATATTCCCATTAACTGAAAAGGAAATTTCATGATCAAAATGTTCTCAACGTAAACATATTTGTCCGTGATTCAAACAAGTCAACACTGAAGTTAATGAATGTCATGGCAGATATTGTTACATGATCAAATATCCGTTCATGAAAAAAAAACCCCCCAAACTTGTGACATTGTAGAAGCTAACTACTGACTTCAAGAAACCTTATGGCCATAGGATGCTTAGCTTCAGAGAGTAGATCAGGTTTCACGATTTCAACAATCTCGCCATTGACAAGAAGGCAAACTACATCAGCTATTCTTTGGATCTGTTGGATACTGTGGGACACGATCACTATAGTCATTCCTTTTTCTTTCTTCAGCTTTACAAGAAGGTCTTCAATGTTCTGTGTCGATATTGGATCCAATGCACTAGTCGGCTCATCAAGGAGTAAAACCTGAGATGAAAAAGGAATAAATTAAGTGAAAAAGTTCAATTTCAGCCTGTTCTTGGTGAAATTTTTATGGACAGAACGACACTAGGACCACGCAGAGTTGCAATCTTACTTCTGGTCCATTTGCTAAGGTTCGAGCAAGCGCAACTCTTTGAGCTTGACCAGTAGATAATTCTCTAGCAGGTTTATTCAAGAAGTTGGAGTCCAGGTCTACAAGAGCAAGCAAATCATAAATCTCACTGTCACTTAACTTCTTCCCTTGCAGCTGTGGTCCATATCTTATATTATCTGCAACAGTACCTATACAAATTCCATGTCCGTTAACCTCATGATCAATCAATGGCGTGTTTCATACCAAACATTCTTTCCTATGAACACAAATTATGATTCTTGCTTATCTCTAACAAATTTTTGGTCTATACTTACTCGTAAGCAAATGTTCACCAGATATCCAAATTGATGGTTTGGTAGAGGACTGAAGCAAAGCCGATCATGATTCAACATACTAGTTGATGATATTGTTTCACCTCTTAAACGCATAGTTTAAAATAAACAACAACCCTCAAATTTCAATCCAAAGAAATCTCACAATTCATCTAATTTGAACTTTCCTACACGAAATGTGAATAGAGTGCTGAACAGAACACCTAAGACCCAAACCAAAAAAAAAACAAAAAAAAAAAACAAAAAAGAAGAACCATCTGAAACATAATACATGCATATATTACTCAGGTCATGTCATATTTTCCTCAGATCTCAAGTGTAATGAATAAAAGAGTGCCAATCATGTTCTTTTGTCACAATGTTTTGGTCTTAGATTTGCAGCTTCAGAAACCAAACAAAGCACATTTATGACTTGATCAATCTATAAACAAGTAACTAAAAGTACTAACAGAAATCAGTTCTATGAAACTAATTCTACCTTCAAACATAACAGGAAGCTGGAACAGCATACCAACTCTTCGGCGAAGTTGAAGTACATCTATATCACAAATGTCTTCACCATCCAAAAACACTGTGCTGGATGGGGGCTCCCACAATCTATTAAGAGCCCTCAAGAATGTTGACTTTCCACTACCACTAGGCCCTATGATTCCCATGATCACGCGTCTAGGTATGTCAACGTTGATTTTACTCAGTATGGCAATCTCATCAGATGTTTTAGTTAAGTCCCTTATCTCAAATGTCACACCTGAGGATTTATTTCCATTCTGATGAATCTGATCATTCTCCTCCACCGCAAGCAAATGCTCTTCTGCCTCATCCAGACCTGTAAACCAGAAATTTTGTATAAAAAAGATGCAACTTTGCACATCACAGCGAAACCATTATTCTTAATTTACTTCTTTTTGTTTCTCATTTTAGAAAAAAAGAAAGTAGGTGCTCCACTAAATTCTGCAGTCTTAGACTCTTAGCTGAAATTGAAAACAGAGCTGGAGAAATGCTCTTACCTGAGTTAGACCCCATTGAAGCAGAAGGATTTGAAGAAAGGGAAATTGGTTGATGGAGGAAGGGTACTTTTTCTAGAACATTTCTTTATAGGAGGAATTCATGCCATACTGGTTCAACTTTACCATCAGTACAATAAAGCAGCCAAACTTCTGATCATATAAAAAATGGTTTTCTGATGGGTCAGGATAGTCAACCAATTTTATTATATTGGGTTAACGACATGATTAGGGCATATTCAATGTCAACGAATCTTGCAAGTTGCATCACATTCAATCTTATTCGTCCATCTTTTTTGTTAAAAAAAAAAAAAAAAACCAACAATCTGTGGTTTGATCAATTTGACCGTTTTTTATGCCCAAATTTTCTCCATTTCCTGGATGACATTCTTCTTATTTCAATAGGTTGTTATAAGAGGTTATAAAATTCAGCAATGAGGCAACAAGAGACGATCAATCAGAGTTTTAACTAGCTTAAAAGCATTCATATAACTGCTGCAACAATTTTAGTACAGTTACACAGGATTCTGTAACACTTATTTGCTTGCATTACCATCTCCTGCATTCATAGAAATGAATATACAATACAAACCACCATGGCAGAAGCTAATTGCTGAGTTCAAGAAACTTTAGTGCCATAGGATGCTTAGCTTCGGACAGCCGATCAGGTTTCAAAATTTCGACAATCTCACCACCAACAAGAAGGCAAACTACATCAGCAATCCTCTGGATTTGTTTGATACTGTGAGACACCATCACCATAGTCATTCCCTTTTCTTTCTTCAACTTCACTAGCACATCTTCAATGTTCTGCGTCGATATCGGGTCCAATGCACTGGTAGGTTCATCCAGCAATAAAACCTGGTAACAAAGAAAAGAGCACAAAGTTATTTTCCATTCATGAAAAGGCTTCAGTTTTCTGCATTCGTGTCAATTTTATATACCTCTGGTTCGTTAGCCAGCGTGCGAGCAAGCGCAACTCGCTGAGCTTGACCAACAGATAATTCTGAGCCTGATTTACTGAAGAACGTTGAATCCAAATCCGCAAGAGTTAGTAGCTTGTAAACCTCATTATCAGCAAGCTTCTTCCCTCTTAGCTGAGGTCCATATCTAACATTATCAGCAACTGTGCCTGTAAAGTAGTCCATGGTGGATGAAAGAAAGGTAACCAAATCATCAATTAGTATATATATATGATGAGATATCTAGGATAAGGACTATAACTACAATTTAAGGATAGCTTGATACATATCAGCTAACAAATAAGCATTGAAATTCAAAGATACTAAAATCTAATGAAAATGCAGTCAATCCAATGGTAACAAACAAATTACAAGATTAAAACTTTGATCATCTGAAATTACCTTCAAACAAAGCAGGAAGCTGGAAGAGCATGCCAACTCTTCTGCGAAGTGAAAGAACATCAAGATCAGTGATGTCTTTACCATCCAGGAACACACTCTGGGATGGAGGCTCCCATAATCGATTCAGAGCCCTTAAAAATGTGGACTTTCCACTACCACTAGGGCCAATGACACCCATGATCACCCCTTTTGGGATATCAATGTTGAGTTTGTTGAGTATTAGAACACTCTTGTCTGAAATTCTGGTCAAATCCCTGATCTCAAATTTAACATCTGATGATGAAATTTCATTCCCATTTCCATTTCCATCCCCAGTTAACAAACGCTCCTCTGCTTCATCTAGCCCTGTAAAATTCACCCCCAAAAAAAAAACACCAAAAAACATACAAATGATTAATCAAGGTTGAATTTTGAAAGAAGGGATTTATGCAGAAATGTGAGACAGAGTTGAATTCTGGAATTCTAACCTGAATAAGAGCCCATTGGAGTGATTTGAGTGGAATAAGGAACAGGGTGGGTAGAAGAGGGAAGGGAGGCATGATGGTTTTTATAAGGAGGAGGAAGTGCCTGCCCCAGTTCAACTTCTTGCATCATTAGTAGGCGTGAAACTCGGGATTCTGACAAATTTAGGAAAAAAAAATTTAATAAAATTTGTGGATGGATTGAATCATTGAAGAAGACAGGTAAATCTTTTTTCTTATTCAGAAGCTGGCGATAAGAGAGATGCCTTTTTGGAATTTAGGTAAGCTGAAAATGTATAATTAACAAAGTGGAGCAGGATACTGTTGCCCTTTTCTTCTTCTTTCTCAAAGTTCACCTAATACTGCAAGGTAAAAAGCCATGATCTAGGTTAGGCCATAAATATCTTGTAACTTCACTCGAATAAAACCATAATTACTTTCTATGTCTCACTTTAACCGTCTAATGAAAGGATTGTGATCAAACATGATACTTAAAATATTTCAACATAGTATGTCGTGTTGAAAACCAATTTAGTTCATGATGAGTTTACAAAGAGTAATATTTAAAAAAAAAAACGTGATCTAGCAATCTCGGACCTAGTGAGATCTTAAGCATCCATTACAACTTTCAACTTCGCTAATAAATAAGTAGTGGTATTGTGTTAGATTTTCATCACTTGCTAATATTATTATGTTATGGACACATTATATATGTGAAAATATTAGTTTCCCTACTCCTTCCGGTCCATATTATAAGACATTTTGATTTGTCCTAAATTTCACCTAAGATATCTTTTTAATTGAAATAAAAATCTTAAAAATATTTTCTAATAATTAGAAGAACACAATGAATGTAAAAATATATGTTTAAGATTTTTTTCCTCAATTAAAAAAGCATCTTAAGTAAAACGTATGACAAAATTAAAATATTTTATAATAAGGACCAGAGAGAATAGTATAATAGTCTGCTTATATATACTGCAATGATACATTAAAAATGAATTATTAAAATAGGACGTGAAAGACACTTCTGGATGTGATATCTAAAACTATAACTAAGATTTGGGGTGGAATCGGATTAGTTGTTTTTGGGGTTGGGGGTGGTTTGTATTATAAAAAAAATGGAATTTGATAAATTGCATGATAAGGACAGGGTTTGCACGGTACCAAGTACGGATTTCTCCAGTTCCGGTCTTCATAAATGCCACCTGTCCCACATGGTAGATTGTTACTACAGTTTTTATTGTTTGATTTATTATACTGTACTCTTTTTGGGGAGAGGTTTTATCTGGGGATCCGTTCTCTGTTTTCTCTACCTATCTGGTGCAGGACTTTTCTTATCTGAAACAACTCACACGCCGGAGGGTCCAGATTCCTCCTTCCGACCTTACCAAATCAAAATCCAATCAACCAAATTCCCTTCTTTTTTTTCTTTTTCCCTTTTTCCTTTTCCCCAAAAGAAGCATAATTTATATCTGTATTAAGTTTATTATAAATTTAAAAACTCAACGCATACTCTGAACTATTCATAGTGACTAGTGAGGAAATGCCGTCTTGTCCTAATTATAACACACAAAAAAAAGTAATCTTTCTGGTGGTTAGAGTTCGATTCGACCCATGAACATTTGGGAAGTTTCGAAAACCTCTTAGAACTGATCTATACTTCAAGTGAACTTGTATTAAAATGAAATGTGCCCGTGGCATCTGACTCTCTGAATGATGACAATCAGAGTTACTCAGTTGCTCAGCTTGAAGAAGAAATGGGACCATTTTCTTGTAACTTGAAATACTGCATCTAATTTTTCGTTCTTCAAAGAGTCAGGAGTTCATAATGTACTCGTGAAGGCAAATAACAGAAGACACACATGAAAATTATGGGTGATTATATAATTAATTAACCATTCGGTAACAATTCCCATTCTAGATGAGAAAAAACTGTTCCTCTTGCAATCTTTGACTAAATCATCCAGTCGAAAGGATGGCTGATTTTATCTTATTGGTTGAAAAAAAATGCATTTTTGTTATTCTAATAATTGTATCATTTCAGTATATTTTTTTACATTTTCAATACTTATTTTTACATTCTTAATATAAAAAATACTTAAAAATACATATCGAAAAACAATACAAACATAGCCTAAATTTAAGTGTTCTCCTAAAAAAAATTCCTTATTACCTTCAAAAAACGAAAAAAAAAAAAAACAAGAAAAGGAAAAGAGTTGGACTTTGCAGCTTCCATAGCAGACAGATATTCAAAAATTCAAATGCAGAACACTACTTGTGGATCTGTCAGTTTAACTTAGGCCCAAAAGATAGTTACTGAACGCCTGTGGATATATCAGTTTCCAGCTGGTATGGAATCTTAGCCCAATACTATACTGGGTATTATGAAAGAACTAGGATATGGACTCACTACTGCTCTACAAATATTACTTATTTGGAAGAAAAAAGGTGAGCACACACAAAGGAAGCCTCATTGGTTTTGATCATTTTAATAATAAACTAATGAGTAAAGATTTGTTTTCTGGATTTTAATCATTCAAATTTTTCCCTAACAGTGAATCTACAATTTTTTTTTTTCGGAAAAAAGAAACAACACCCGCAATTTTCACTCCTTCCGCCCCAACTTGAGAATTAGTATAATTGAACTAAACGGTTATTTTGAGACGAAAGGAGTACAAAAGTAACAACACGAATGTGCGACTAAAGTACATATCTTCTTCTTTACTAAATGGGCCCATTTCAAGCAGCTGGATAGTCCATCACGACACTACTAATAAATGATTCACACCGATGTATGGTGGATTTGTGAAGCTGCAGAAACAGATACTTTTCACCCAATGACTACTAACAGTAATACATTGACAATGACCCAAGCCTAGTTGCACCTTGAGAGATTTTCTTTCTCTTCTTTAACCAACAAGCAGAATGATTTATGATAGCCCTTCTGTTCTAGAATTACTGTCTATTTTGAAATTTCATTTTTAATACAAATTGAACTAGAAATGACAATTTAAACTAAATAATTATTATAGGACGGAGGGAGTACAATATTTGCTACAAAAATTTACTAATCAAGCATTTTATTATCCGAAAATTTATCAATATTGCTGCTTTAGGAAAAAAGAGTTTTCAGCATGGATGGAATGTAGGAATGAATGTATCAATTTGGATGCCAAAGGAAAAAGTAAATTACCTGAAATAGTCCAACTAGACCTTAAAAAAGTAGTTCCTTTGTGAAGATTCCAAGTTCTAGTTTAAGTTCTCAAATACACGAACCCTGATACATGTGTAAAAACAATTGTGAGTAATATGAAACATCAGTTTTAGTGAAATTAAAGAGAAATTCGTAGATTAAGACAAATCTGTACAACAACATCAAGTTTGATTAGTTTGACCAATTCCGTGATTTATTTCTTGTTGATTGGTTATAATTTTCTTCTACTTAGATAAGGTGCTTTCCATTCCACCTTTTTTCTTTGTCTTTTTTTTTTTCTTCCTTTCTTTTTCATTATTACATTATTTGTATGTTTTCCAAAAATTTTTCCCAAGAAAATTAACCTGCGGATGTTTGCCATATTGACACTTCCTCCAAATCAGAAGAATAGTACATTCGTCAACTGTAACATCACGAGCTCAATTTACTTCCACGTTCATGTTTTTTTCTTTCTTAATAAATCATTTCATCATACAAACAATCATTCATATATAATTTCTTACATGCTCGATATATCTCTCTTTTAAGAAAATGTAAAGATGCATATAAATGTGAAAAGTACAAAATGAAAATGCCCAAATAGAAATAGTAATACTTCTACTCCCTCTGTCCCAAAATGATTGTCCAGTTTGAGATTTCAGTTTTAATATAATTTGAACTAAAAATGAAAATCCAAACTAGACAATAATTATGGGACGGAGGGAGTACTTATTACTTCAGCTGATTTGGTCTTTCATCTGAGAGTGTTTTATTTATTTATTTTTATTAAGTTCAAACTACTGCTCTACATATATTACATTGACTGTACATATCTATATCCCTACGTTTTTTTTTCTTCTTCTTCTTTTTTTTTTTTTTTTTCCCTAAAAAAAAGAATCATGTGGAGGAGAAAATTTGCTCCATTGAAAAACTTTGGTATGAGAATGTATATCTTCCAATCAAAGATCGGAAGATATTAATTTTCATCTCATCTCATCTCATCTCATCTCATTCACGTGAGTGATGGATAGTATTTTCTTTGTCGCTTCTTTCTTATTTCGTTTTCATAACCAAAAGAAGAAAATTCACTCATCTGTTCAAAATGAACCCAACATTGATGCGGGCAGGAAATTCAAGTTTAATAAAAGTTGCTCTTTCCGTCACATTTTAATATTTCTACAATTGTTAAAATGGGACGAAAACTCGAAAAGGGTAGTCTTTAGTAAGCTGAGAAAGGAAAAACTCGATCAATTATTGTGTCTAACTTCCAAGTTCCACAAATGCGTTGAATCAACAAGATCATCATATAATTAATCTCACAAAAACAAAAGTAAAAATTAGAAGCTGACGAAACACAACATATTCTCTCCAGTCTAATTAGTACTACTATTTGCTGTGATGCCAATGCATATGTTGATTGATAATCACTAAGCGGTTCCGAATTGAAATGATTGTTTAAAGAGTGGGAGCTAATTTGCCAAAAAAAAAAGTAAACTTAAAAAAAAAAAGAAAAGAAAAGAAATTCCTATAATTAAACGTACCTCAGTATTGATTGATCTCTGCAAATCTGCGAAGAGCTGTTGTTGTTCACGTACGGACAAGCTAATTAATGATCCCAGAAAATTTGAAGGTTTTTCCTGTAGTTAGAATGGGATGGTGAACAACAGAGTTTGGTGATGGGAAGAAGAAGAAGAAGAAGAAAGAGGAGGAGGAGAAAGGTTTAATGATCAAAGAAGAAAGAAATGTGGTTTTAGTAAGTGAAGAAACAAGTTTTGTTGAGGGAGCCCATTGGGTGGGGGTTACGACGTCTCTTTATAAAAGCCCCAGCCACCCCCTCGTTACTTGTCTTGTCGTATCAAATTAATACGCTCTCCGTCTCAAAAATAAATGTCCCGTAAAGTAATCTTTAAAATTTTATAAATTTAATCTTGAGACAGAGTTAATATTTTAATTTATGGTAGAGTGTGTGTGTATCTTTTTTTTGGAAAAACACACATTATATTAATCAGAAGTTATAGAGTTTATTATATCTTTTGCTCGATTATGGGCATCGCCAATTATTCTTACTGACTTTAACTGTCTTATATATAGTAGAACGGATGGAAATGGAATTCAACCCAATTTATTTATTTATTATTTTCCATTTTCGCACATGCTAAAAAAATTTCAGCCATTTCTTTCATTATTTTCCCATTCTGTACTATATATATATTTTATGTGAAATCTCATTAAATAATATTATTTTTTTAAAAAAAACAAATTAAATTAATAGTTTTTTAACTTTTATGAATTATTGTCCAATTTGAGATTTCAATTTTAGTACAATTTGAACTAAAAATAAAAATTCAAACTGGATAATAATTATGGGACGGAAGGAGTAACTTTCATTACATCCTTCATATATATATATATATATATATATATATATATATATATATATATATAACAAATTAACATGAAAAGAGTAACGAGACGACCGCCTTTGTTGGTCTTGTCTTTCTGATAACCATATCGAACTCTTGAACTCAATCAGTGGAGATTGAAGAATCATCAAGTTTAAAAGGAAACATTGTTTAATCGGCCAAAAGCAGGAGTTGTACATTTCAGATTTATGACTTGAGCGGTAAAGTATTGGATTGTATTTTCTAGTATATCTTTGCTAAAAACGAATTACTTTACCTAATTTTATTTTTTTAAAAAAAAAATTATAAAAACACTCACCCGTAAAGCATCTGGATTGGAATGCAACAAAAATCTAACTAATGCATCAGTTGAAAATGAGAGATTCATTGGAGCATTGACACAAACGAAAAGTATAATTATCTTTCCAAAAGCACTAAATATTTTAAAATCTAGAATAAATTGCCAACATAAAAATAATTACATGTCTAGAAAAAAATGAGGTCTTCCAAATAGAACATAGCACTTACAAAATATTCAACTTAGATTTTTACATAGTGGTTACCATGGTGGGTTTCTGTTTTATAGTGCTTTTAGTCTTTGGATTCAATTTCATTGGGCATTGTGTATTATAAGTAGTATTCTTGCGGTCTTAATTTAATTAATAGCCTATTTTGTTATAGTATTATTTCGATTTCAATTAAGTGTACTGTTAGAATAAGACAGAAAAATAATATTTCGTTGATTTTATTAAAAAAAAAATTATTTTGTTAAATTGAAATAAATATTAAAATTTTGGGCGGAAAGATCACTAATTCTTGTTCAGGGAAGGTGTTAACTGTTAAATACTAAGTGCGTGCTAAATTCTGTAAATTAGAGTGCACATTTTTAGATTAGTGCTCCATGCACTGCAGGCCATATCTGCCCATATTAGCCAATCGACAAGCATGCGCTGCGCTCCTTCTCAGCATTCCATTTTGTTTTTTCAAAATTTAAAGCTGAGTTTACAGATTATTCTATTGATAACGATAATAAAGTATATAACATCACACATCCTCGTACTGATTCACTTTTCATTGTTTTTTAATTTTCTTTTTCAAGCCATCTTGAAGGGTAAAAAAAATAAAGTTTGTGATAATTAACTGCATTTCATATAGGATGCGCAGTCACTCGTGTTCTTTTATAAATATATATTGGGGGGGTTTTTTTTGGCTGATATGTGATGCAAATTTGGGAGGACAATTCGACTCAAGGATGAAACATGATCTTTTGGTACAATATATAATCCGTGTTCATAATTACTGTTCCGACATATTCTGTTTTGAGTCAGATATATTATGTTTTGGAGGTAAATTTATCTCTCAAATAAATATTTTAATTGTTGCTTCAACAATAATAGTAATTAACTTTGATATGAAGGTTGAGCAAGATGAAAATTAGAACCATGGAAAGTAGGAGGGGACTTCATGTGAATTAACATGATCATGACGCCCTAAATAGATGTCAAGAATTTCCAAAACTAATAACAAGAACATTATGGGATCATCTTAACGGCAACTTATATGGTGAACCTTGTGTACTATATATGGTACACTTGTCTAATTAATACAATTTAATTATGGAATGAAAAATTAAGAAAAATTTATTAAATCAATTCATTCTCTTTCATTATTTAATTCTCATACCATGTTTTCAAATATAACAGAAACAATATTCTAATAATTTTGTAACTCTTTCTTCTATTCATAATTACTGACTATTTCCTCTATTCATGACGTAGTTTGAAAATTAAGAACAATTTAAATTTAATAAAAAAAATCATAAAATTTTGATATATATGTTATGAAAAATATTACTATAACTCATGAATTTTTCATAGAATGAGTATGAACTATAAAATCATAAATTAACACTAAATTTAGAATCAAAAACAGTAATATGTATGGCGCCACAGACGTTGCACATCTCCAACATTTGGTATCTTTCTAGAACAACTATTTATTTATTAATTTTGGGACGTATCAAGTGAGAGTTTTAATCTAATCTATCCCAAGTTGTAGTGCTTTTCTTGATTCACCATGATCGTTAATCCTTTATGGATTTTTTTTCAAATTATCTCTGAAATGCAAAAGTTCAATTAGATTCTCGTCACCAAGCAACAGGAGACAGATGATGTCTAAGAACAGATTAAACCATCAAAAAGTGCAAAACTCAATCAAATCACTTTCTAAAAAATTAATGCACAATAAAAACATATGGACCTACACTCTGTTTTATCATTAATGTGGCCATATAATATCCTTTCATAATTCCGACTTTTTTTTTCCAAAAAGAAAAAGGATATATATCTACCATTAGTGAAAATGTAAAACAAACTTTTCATAATATCCGAAAATCGTCCCATTCCAAGATTTAAAATTACTTTTAAATAAAAAAAAATCCGTTAATGAAATTTACTACTTGTAAATTCTTAATCTTTATGTAGATGAGTGGGGAAAAAAAAAACGCATTTTTAACTATGTATATGAGTTCTCATCATAATATGGATTAAGTAACTTTATTAATATTTTAATTCGATTCTTATTTTGGAAAAGGAGTAAATATTTTCTTAAAATGATAAAAAAAAAAATACTAGTTGCAATTATTATATTATTATTATTATTCCATGACTTGAAATGATTACCAATATCATATTTCAATTGTCACCCTTTCACTTCTCCGTAATTGAAGGTGTCCAGTCGGAATATGACTCAGACTGACAAGTGACGAGGGCTAATTTAACGTACTCCCAAATTTTCATGAACCTAATAAGCATTTCACAAACAACAGAGGTTCTGTATGCAAATTTTTCTATTTCTTTGAAATGAGGCTGGCCGCCGATTGAATTTCTCCGGCCGTTGTTGTAGTTCACTGAATCCTTCTCTTCACAAAACCATGAGCCCTTGAATCGGAGAGAAATAGTGCCCAGAAAAGCTAACAAGAATGGCGCTCACGTTTCTGTCTTTGCGCGCCAGAACAAGTCATACTGTCCTCAAATTATCATTGTTTGGCTCGCGCTTTAGACCCTTCTCGTCGGTATCTCAATCGGACCCGCCGTTGCCGGAACTCGTCGGCGAAATTGCTCGCATTTTGAGTGATTATAGAAGCCCCCACCACGATATCCAATCGGCCCTTCATCCATTCTCCTCCAAGATTTCATCTGACCTGGTCGAACAAGTACTCAAAAGGTGTAAATTTCTGGGATTTTCTGCTCACAGATTCTTTCTCTGGGCTAGGGATTTGCCGGGTTTTCAGCATAGTAAAGATAGTCATCACATTCTGGTTGATATTCTAGGAAGTAGTAAACAGTTTCCTCTCATATGGGATTTCCTTGTGGAGCTTAGGGATACTGGGAATTTTGTGATTACCCCACAAATCTTTTGGATTGTGTTTAGGGCTTATAGTAAAGCTAATTTGCCTGCTGATGCCATCAGGGCTTTCAACAAGATGACAGATTTTGGCGTTGTGCCCAGCATTCATGATGTTGATCAACTCCTGTTTGTGCTTTGTAAGAGAAAGCATGCTAAACATTCCCAGGAATTCTTCGATAAGGTTAAGAAGGATTTTGATGTGACTGCTAAAACTTACAGTATTTTGATCAGAGGTTGGGGTGATATTGGGGAGGTGGGACAGGCGAGGAAGCTGTTTGATGAATTGCTTGAGAGAGGGTGTCCGGTCGATTTGCCTGCTTATAATAGTATTATGGAGTCCTTGTGCAAGGGAGGCAATGTGGATGAGGCGAATAAGTTGTTCAGTGGCCTGAGCTCTATGGGATTTCAGCCAGATGCCTTCAGCTATTGCATCTTCATTCATGCCTTCTGTGAAAAAGATGATTTACACTCAGCTCTCAGGGTTCTTGATAGAATGAAAAGGTACAATCTTGTGCCAAATGTGTATACGTATAATGTTATTCTCAAGAAACTTTGCAAGAATGATAAGGTGGACGAAGCATACAAAATCCTTGTTGAAATGGTAAAGAGTGGGGTGATGCCAGATGTTTGGAGCTACAATGCTATTCTATATTACCATTGTGATAATAGTGAAGTCAACCGAGCGCTTAAACTGATCTCGAGTATGGATCATTACGGTTGTCAACTGGATCGACATAGCTACAATATGGTGCTTAAAATGCTTGTTAGAGTTGGGCGATTTGATAGAGCGGAAGAGTTTTGGAAAAGTATGGACCAGAGAGGATTTCACCCTCCAGTGTCAACTTATGCTGTGATGATCCATGGTCTGTGCAAGAAGAAAGATAAACTTGAGGAGGCATGTAAGTATTTTGAACTGATGATTGACGAAGGATTACCTCCTTATCCTGTGACATGTGAATTGTTGAGGAACAAACTTATTGGTTTCGGATTTTCAGAGTTGACGGAGATACTTGCAGATAAGATGGACCGAAGTACTTCTTGTTCAATACAAGAGCTATCAAGCATTATGCGAGGAAATAAGGTTCAATCAAAAGTGAAATGTAAAGATGAATATTCAGATGACAGTGACGACTGGAGGAGAGTGGATATTCCTAATTAGCAAAACGCTTTTTTCCTTCCATTTCTGTTTTACAAATCCCTTATGGAAAAGGATGTTGCTAATTTTGCATACTAGTCCATTGTTCGTATTGACATCATAATATTGAAAAGATACGGGAAACTCCTGTATTAGTGACTGAATTTCTAACTCTGATGTTGTTTACAGTTAGATGTTGTTTACGATATAGTTGAGATTTGAGAATGTTAACAGCTTCAGTTAGTGATAAGCGCATAGGAATGCTGCTGACATGATTATTAACGATGGAAAGACCCTTAATGATACATTCTATACACAAGGGATTTAGCTTTTGATTACATTAGCGAAGTTAAATAGTCTACACTCTAGAATCCAGATAGTGAAGCTGCGGGCTTTTCTGGAACATTAGCGTTCTTTTTTATGTTCGTTCTCTTGCTTGCCTTCTCTTGTGAGCAGGAAGTCCTTTTGCTTTCTGAGATTTCTGAGTAAATAGCTCCTCGTACTTGGCCAGTACTCGTTCCTTCTCTTCAATGAAGCCTAACACGTCATAGGCATCAGCTACTTTCTGCACCACAGATTTATCTGGCAGTTTCCGATCAAATGCTTCCAATTCCTTGAACAGATTGATAAGTTCTTCTAGCATGTTATTGCGATAATATACAGAAATCATAAGCTTACATAACTCCCAAGGAACAGAATGGAATTCATAGGCAATTTTCCTCAGCCAAAATTCATGTGCTTCTTTCGCTCTGTGGTCCATGTCTAGCGCGAATATCAATTGCTTGTATGTGCCCATTGTCGTACCTTGTCCCTTGCTTAGCATCCATTTAATAACCTGGATAATCTTGTGCCAGTGTTTCTCTTTCTCAAGGGCAATCAGCACCATCTTCAACAGGCCTATGGGGAAGTTCCTCTCCCATGCAACCCAAGCATCAAGAGCACTGTATGTAGCTTCTTTGCTGTCATCGAGTTCATGGAGTGTGTTGACAAGAAAACTAACTTTATCATTCCTTGAGATGTTTTCCCCTATTGGTGGTCTGGGAACCGCTCCATAATTTTGCTTAGGCAAGTCATAATGTGTGCGATTACCAAATTGGCTGTCCGAAGATTCTAACACACCTGTATTGCTCTGGCTCTGATTTGAAGATTGAATGAACGTAGTTTGATGCGAAAGTGCTCGCATCCCCCATAATCTAAGTAGATTAAATCGGCTACCGAGCTTTGTAAGAGACATCGCCCTCATCATCAATCTCAATCCTGTTACGAACACAGCATATATTAATTAGTACATGAACAAGCATTTGTAAACAAAGTCATTCATATCATGACAATATTAGGTATCACAAAAAGGTACCGAGGTAGACATAAACTGGATCTATTATGCAACCACCATAGCACAAAAAACTATTCATCCAAAATGGAATTAGCTACCTCACAAAAGGCCGTTGTTGATTGCTTTGCTCTTCCCTCGCCCTCTAACCTGCAGCTTCGGTGTGATCCAATACAGCAAGTTTTCCATGAAAGAATCTTTAGAGAACTCTCCCTGCATTAAGATGGGCGAGATGGAGAACTGTTAGGACAATTGAGACCAAGGCAAACAGAGACAAAGATTGACTTGCAGCTTTACCAAGTACTAGAACTAGAACTAAAATGTAGTACAACCCACACATCAAAGTTGCTATAATTTTTAAGTATTCAGTGGAAACATATTACCATGATATCAGTTTACTGCTCGAGTTAATTATCTGGTTTGCTGACCAACCTTAACAAATGGCTGTATTAATACTAAGATTGAAACCACATCAAATCTAGCTGAACTACGTAGTCAATGGAAAGCATGAAACGAGTTCATGCAATACAATGCACTAAATCCTCCCAGTTGGAAGAGACAAGCTTAAAGCAGAAAATTTGGCCAAACCGGCGTCGGAATACATACTGAACCCTAATCCCTCAATCACTACTCCGTCCTACTTCCCAATTCAGACAGTACATGAAATGAAGGATGAAGTATTATAGATAATTTATGCAAAACCCTTCACCCCAGATTCTGTTTCTAAAATAAGACCACACCAATGAAGCAAATCACACACCAAAAAAAAAAGAAGAAAAAAAAAAATGCTAAAACGGCCAGCCAATTCGAGAATAAAAATGTTCAGTTCCAAACTACACTGACTCGAGCCATTAACAAGCACGTAGAACGATAGAACAGACAATTGAGTGTTTCCAGACACATCAAAGATCAAACACAGCAGCTCAGAAAATTACCAGTTTTTTTAGATGCGGGCCTCTGAGGTAGTAGAGTTTTGAAGGGTTGGCTGGATTTAATTTCTCCTTCAAATAGGAGTATACACTATACAGGACTAGGCGCCGGGTTCGAGTACGAGCGGATCGGTTTTGGGTTTACCCTTAAACTATCCAACCCGTTAGGGAAAATTTCGGGTCTTTCTTTGCCCCCCCCCTCCTCCTCAATTTTTCCTTTTCAAATTCATAAGGAGAAAAAAAAAATGAAATACTCCCTCTGTCTCATAATTATTGTCCGGTTTGAGATTTCACTTTTAGTAAAATTTGAACTAGAAATGAAAACTCAAACTGGACAATAATTATGAGACGGAAGGAGTACATAGTGAAATTTAACGTAGGCAGATATGGAGTATTGTAAGTGGTTATTTTGTTGACAATTTTTCCTTAAAATTTTATTTCCCCTATCTCCCAAATTATATTTTTACTTAAATTTTAAATGTAATATAACATATTAACTGATAAAAATAGTACTACTAGTAAATTAAAGTTAGTTATCAATTTAATAGATTTATGAACTTTATATTAATTGATTCTTTTATCGTGGCCTCCACCTCATTCACTTCATTAATCGGCAAATTAGGCAACAACTATTCTCTCTTCTACTCCTCTCTCTTTTATGCCCCATCCTCACTTTTGGCTGTTAAAAGTAACATAATAATATCGGATGGATTTTTTGCTCAATAAGAGATCTATTTTTATAAATAAATTTAATGGCATATTTTGTGGTTCACTCTTAGTTTTAAGTTTTATTAGTCATAAATAATAAAAAAATAAAAACTATATTCAAGCCAATACACCATAAACTAATAAAATTAGACTCAATATTATTGAAATAAAACAGATCTTTCAAAAAAATCAGTTTCAATATACGTATCAAAAATTTGTTGGAATACAACAATTTTTTTTTTTAAATGTAACATTAAGTCTGATGAAATTGACTTCTAAATGACAAGACACAAATTAAGAGTTTACAAAAAAAACCACAACAAAATTGAGGTTGGTTCTGCGTTAGCTGATAGATGCCTTTAGAGGCTTTGATAAAAACATGCACATGAACTCTTAATTTAGCACCCAAACTTGTTACGGTAAGTATTACCCAAAAAAAGTATTTCCTTTTAATTTTTAATTATTTTTGTTAGGGTAGAAGAATATCATTGACTCAGTGAATCTGAGTATATAGACAAAGAATTATATACATTAATGGATGGAAACAATTCATAGCATGCAAGTCGAAATATAGACAAAATAATATAGTAGAAAAATATCTCCACATATTGTAGGATTTCGAGGATTGCTTTGCAACAAAAAGGAAGCTCATAATTTAGCAATTTAAGAAGTACTAGAGACTTTGATGACATTTTAAACACAACGTTTGATAAGTGTATGGTCATGCAAAGGTGCTCCTTTCGATGTTCAATTCTCTTTGCAATCTCTTGAAAATATTTTTTAAATAGATACAATAGTTTAAGAAAAAACTATGAGCCAATGAATATCACCAAAAAATTATATACATAGAAGGATAGCACCATTCACTGCATGTGAGTTGAAACATGAAGAAAATATAGTAAATGTATGATCAAATAAGATGTAAAGGAAAAAGTAATAGGGCCGTAAACACACAATGATGAAAAATTCTTAGGTAGACATTTTTTGTACTAATCTTGAACAAATTTTGAAAATAAAGAAAAAAAATGCGAGAAATTCCCTTAAGAATCTAAGAACTTAAGTTTATATATGAAAGTCCCTCGAATAGGGTTATCTATGCAATATTCATGGTACTTGACAGCTATAAGTAAATTCTTACTTGATATCTTTTAATTTGAAAGCTAATATTCTGACAAAAACATTTAATAATCACAATGTTGTACAAAATATTACACTTTTAATTCTCAACTCTCCGTAAATTTGACAACATTACATAAACTACATAATAAGAAAAAGGAAAATCACTATTTCTTAGTGATTGAATATAACTTAATGGTTATGAACACTGCATAATGTAAATGATTCATACAATAGTTGCAACATGATCAATAAAATATGTAGACATATTATTTGACAGATGCGATAGAAAAGGAAATCTAGTCCAACATTCTTTACATTGCTACATTTTCCCAGTAAAAACTAAAGAAAATGTTCACAATAGTTTACTTTTTTTTTTGAGATATAGTATACTGCATATGTATTATCTTAAGACTGAATGAACTGTGATAAACACGGATTATCCACAGTTAGATGTTGCAACCCGGAACCAAACCCATAAAGCTAACTACGGTTCAAGTTACTTGCATTTAATCGGGTTGACCCAATCCAAATGCACCCGTTTCTTCACATAATTTCCTCTTTTAGATACCAAACTTAAAAAATAAATAATTTATGAATATATATTTATATTAAAAATATATCCAAAAACAAGTTAATTACTGAAAGCAACTGGGTACTGTGTATAAAACGCATCCAACCAGTAGTTAACACCTTGCTAAGACTCCCAGTACCAGAGCGAGTAATTTTCACGTACGGAGAAAAAGCGTGGATGATGTAGTAAAATTACAGGAAATACAGAAAAAAATTATTAAGGAAAAATCAGACAGAAAAACGAAAAATAAGAGAAAGAAAGAAAGAAGAGAGAGAAAGAGAGTATCGGAAAGAAGAGAGCGATCAGAGAGAGACGAAGAAGAGAAGAAGGGTCTTCGATTTCTAATTCCGCCAATAAAAGTAAGAAAAATTATACACAGATTTTGGAGCGAGATTGGAACGGAAAGCAAGTGTTAGTCAGATAAAGAGGAGGAAAATAAAGAATGAATAGAGCAATGGAAGAAGCAGCAACCTGGGTTCCAACGAACAAGTAATAGTCGGAACTATTTTAATTTCTCCATTTTTCTGGGGACTCATTCTCCGAATCAGTATTTGGAGTTCAAACAAGGTGAGCCCATAAATTTTTTTGTCCCTATTTAGTCGAATTTTTGTGAGTTTTGGAGCTTGAATCTGTGTTCTTGTCGGAATTGTTTTTGAGAGATTTGAACTTGAACTAGGATACTTCAAGCTTGAATCTTTTAATAAAAGGTGGTTTTTTGAGTTTGCTTGGTGGTTTCGTGGGATTTTCTGGTATTATTAGCTCTGATTGTAATTGGGAATGCAATTGGTGGGTTTACTTGGAGTTTCAGAAGGTATCTTTGGTGGGTTTTGAGTGAATAATACTGTCCTTTTGGGCTTTGTATTTTTGTCGCATTGGATTTTGAATAATTGGGGAATTGGGTTTTTGGAGGGAGAGTTAGTTGGAGAAATTGGGATCCCAGGATGTCAACTCAAACACTCCAATCCTTGTTCTGTTTAAAGTTTGGAATTTGGAGGAGGGTCTTTGTTTGGAAATGTTGGTTTTGCTTGTAGAGGGTCCGAATCTTGTACGTAGGATGGGTTTTTGGAATTGGAGCAAAACCCTAATTTCGTAGTGCAATTGGGGTTTCGGATTAATTGTTCTGTCGGAATTGTGATATATACTGTTTCTTTGTTGTTGTTTATGGAGTTTATGTATTAAGAGAAATGCAGCCACCAAAGCAGCATTCCCGGATCAATCTTGCTGAATTAAAAGCTCAGATAGTGAGGAAACTTGGGCTGGAGGGATCCGAGCGGTACTTTTATCATTTGAATAAATTTTTGAACTTGAAGATTAGCAAGGTTGAGTTCAACAAGCTTTGTGTAAGAATTTTAGGCAGAGATAACATTCCACTGCATAATCAGTTCCTTCACTCTATATTGAAAAATGTCTTTACTGCTACAAGTCCACCCCCTATTCATGAGAATGATACTTTGAAGTCTCTTACGTCAGTTGGAAGTAAAGAGGCTCTTAATGATGGCTACCAGCAAAATGGGTCCCACTCCACTGCAGTGCAGAGTCAACAAGGTTTGTCTAATGGGGATATATTGCCTCTATCTCCTAGAAAGGCCAGGACAACGTCTCGTGAGCGAAGAGCCGGGGATCATCGCAGTGCCCTTGGGGCAAATGGGAAGACAAAGTTCTCTTCTCAGCAGCAAGCCGCCAAAGATTCAAGTGATGTTAATGTTATTTTGGAGAATGGACTTTCTCACCCGCCTGAAGCACAAGGATTGTTGCCGCAACACCAAGGACTGATGCAGCCAGTCGAAAATGTACAGGAGGCTTCAGTTCACCACCCCCTTAAATCTGCTGCAATAAATGATGGTCCAGTTTCTGTACATAGCAAAGACCGAATTGAACTGTCAATTAGAGATGGGAAAGATGTTCACCCTAGGAGTCGATTACAAGCCCCATTCGGAGTTCCATTCTGCCCTGTTAGTGTGGGCGGGGCACGCCGCGGATTGCCCGTAGCGAGTAGCAGTAAATGTGTTAGTGCTTTCAACTCTGGTGTACTGTTAGACAGTGTGACTTTAAAAGAACGGATGGAACAGATTGCTGCTGCGCATGGCCTTGAAGGGGTATCAATGGATTGCGCTAATCTGTTGAATAATGGTTTGGATGTTTACTTGAAGGGCCTAATTAGCTCTTGCATTGGCCTTGTGGCGGCAAGATCAGGACATGAGCCAATGAGGAATAAGAAGGCCCTGCCTGTGAAGCTTGTTAATGGTGTTAGGCCGGGTCATCTTTATCAGATGCAAAATAACGGTAGGCCTTTAGATGTCACACCAGAACATAGACCGCATTGTCCAATTTCGTTGCAAGATTTTAGGGTTGCAATGGAGCTGAACCCGCAGCAACTAGGTGAAGACTGGCCCTTACTACTGGAAAGAATTTGTACCCAAGCATTTGAAGAATAGTTGGAGCGTGAAAACTCTGTGATCACCTGAGGGGCAAGAATTTGCCCAAAATGGAGCAGAGGGCTAGCTGTTCTCTTTGGCCTACATCATATCAACAACGTGATGCTTTCTCCTTTGTGGCCTTCTGCACCAGTCTACTGCTCGAGGTAAAACATTGTCTCTCACTAAATGATAGAGATCAGAGCAGGGATTCCTTCTCTCATCCTGCCACGGGCAGGCTTACCTTCGGGCAGCAAAAACCTAGTTGCCAGCAACCATTGGAAGGGTTGGAAGAAAAGTGCCACATTTGGTTGCACTGTTGTATGATTAGCATAATTCTCACTTGATTTATTTTTTTCCTTTTTACATTTTCCTGTAATTTACAGTTGATAAAGAAATTAGAACAGTTTTGCAGGAATAATGTGTGTAGTGTAGTCACATTAGCAGAAAGGTGAAAGTGCGTCAAACCAGAGTTAATGTGTATGTATCTTCAACATCAAGATTGATTGGAATCTAATTAACAACACGTTTTTCACTTTTCAATAGAAGTATTTGTTACAAGAAGAATGTTTCCTTTTATCAATGATTTATGTGGAAAAAGTTATCGCCGTTTTGGCACTTCTGTTGACCATTATTTTCGTTTATTTTCTGTGCAAATCGCTTTCTATGTAATTGATCATTTAAATGCTAGAGTAATGGGTTGTTTTTGATTGTCCTCAGAATTTTCTGGGCGATGAATCATTTGATTGGAATTCTTTCTTTTTTAAGTCTTTGATTTAGAGAAAGTTATATCAATATGAAATATTCAGCATGGTTTCTCCATTTAGTTTGCATCGGCCTTGGAGGGGGTTCATGGATCTTCTTTTAAAACTTAAGAAGCAGGACTTGAAAGGAAAACCATTTTGGATTGAAGGATATAATAGGGAATATATGTAGATATTCACTTATTTTGGTACTTCTTGATATAAAAAGTGTCCTTATAAGCTCTATTTTACTTCTATTCTGGCTCAAAGATCACTTGGAGATTTCCTTATGTCTTTGAATCTGATTGAGGACTTCAAATTAACTCTGTCCTTCAAATTTTGTAGAATGCACCTTCCAGTTTCATTGTTCTCTGTACATAAGCATTACCGTCAAGTTTCACGTGTATAGTTCACATGTTTTGAAACCTGGACCTTAACTAAGTCTCTATACATTATCAATGCTCTCTGACTCCTTTTTGAAGTTGCATTGAACTGGGAGGTCATGGGATATAAAGTATCATGGTTTTTATCTTTGATACTATCTATAGTAATTTGTTGTATATTGTGCTAAGCTAATGGCCTTTTGTCTCTGATAGTAGGTGATTTAAGATTTTCCTTATAGTAAAGTTCGTGTATTGAAACACCTGCTCAGATGCTGACATAATTCTTAATATAAATGCGTCAAAGGTTCACCTTTTGCATTCCCAGCACTAACGTTTTTCTTTTTTTGTTATTACTTGGATTCTTAACCGATGATAATTGTGATCGGAAGAGGGTGTGAAGCTATTTATGAGGTCCCTGATGGAAAATCTTATTTTACTCACATGCTTGTACTCTTATCATTCTCGTACTTGTGTCTTATCATGCTAATCATTCATAAATTTTTATAAGTTCATTTTTACACTGCTCTCTATTAAATTCTTGCTGGAACGCAAAATGATATTGGACTTGACGCCCGAGGTTGATTTACCTGCATTTATTTTGTATGGAGTTCCCTTATTGTCTTCGATAGATCCAGATGTTTCTGTATGTTTGAGTGCTGCGCGGATCTACCTATGGTTTTTTATTACTTTATCTCCTTTCAGATGTAGAGTTAAGACTAGTTCATGCTAACGGATTTCATGCTTCTTCAAGTGTATCTTATTGATTCAGCATTAAAGTTCGATCAGAATATGAAGAACACCCTGGCTTTGGATAGACGGAATATGTGTTGCTGAGGTAGAGAAAAGCATATTTCTTATGAGTTTGACCTATATTCATTTTACGCTATTTTTGTTGTGAGATGACCACTTTCTACTTGCAGAACAGAAATTGTCAATTGTTTTAGGCTGTAGCCACTAGATTGGAACATGCTATTTGTGCTTTGTTGTCATTTTCATTATATATAGTTACTAGGTCTGGAACTTCTGCATGAAGTACTTTGATCCTTGGATCTGGAGTAATCTGGAATTATTATTTCTGATGGTTTCAATATTGCACTGGTTATTCTTCATGTGCCAATAGAACATGGTTAGTGTTGACGACCCATTGCTGAATATAAGCTATCTGCCATAACAATTGTGTTCTTTTCTGGATTTCAATTACTTGTCTTGCAATGAAAGATCATGTCTCTTTGTCTGTGGCAGTTATTGACTTAGGTTTCGATTTATTCTGGTTGATATGAACTTTTGTTTGTAGTAATCGGCGCACCAAGTTGCTTCATGCTGGGTGTTGGTGGATTCTGGCTGTGTTGGTTACAGTTGGAGATCCAGGTACAATAGTGAGGGATGTAGAGGGGTTTTTATGCTTAATGTGACATGAGTTAAATGCGGGAGGTGGCAGTGGAAAAAGGGAAAGGTATGCTGCAAATCTGCAATCAAAAGAGGGCTGAGGGTTATGATCTTAAGTTCTTAGGATGAGATTGAGTTTTCTGTTCATGCTGTTGTTGGAGTTCATTGTGAGCCTGAAAAGTCATGGAGGAACAATGTTCTCTTCCACAAACCTTAGTTTAAAAGTGCATGATGCTTCAATGGATCATGTCTTTGTTTCATAATTGTGGGAAGAAACTCATTGTCCATGACAGACTTGACTTTTTAAGCATATCAACATCTGATAGTGCATTTGAGAAATTTATAGTTTATACAGGACATGTCCAAAGTCTTGGCTCCTATAGAGCTTTCTGTTCCAGAAGACAGGGTGCTTTACTGCACAAATTATGACGCCCAGATTTCACCTTTGCTCTTTTACACATTCCCGTCAGATCAGCTGCCAAATCAGTTTCAGCCAGTAACCTTTATATATATATATATATATATATATATATATATTTTCCTTATTGGAAATGGATGGAATCACCTTTGCGCTGTGAAATTTGTAACTGTGGCGCCAACAGAAACGGATAGTGAAGGAAAGAAAATCAGTCATTGGAATTTCCTTTTGCTGCAAGGTGTTGTTCAGCATGACAACGCAATATTTACATCTGACTTTTGTCACTGTAACCATCCTGTATCATTATGCATTCACTGGAGGAGTGAAGCAATTACATCTTTTACATTATATTTAATATGAACAAACTATGACCGGTTTGATGTGAAGCTGCAGCTTTGAGCGACGACTCCATCCACATCGTGTTCAACATCAAGAGTTAATAATTTAATCGACGTAAACTTAGTGTTTTCAGGGAGCAGGGTTCGAGGCAAAGGATGAGGTCATGTTATGGTTGGTCCAAACAAAACCCCTCCAGAATGGACGCTGCTTACGCTTGGCGTGGCGAGACATCAACTCTGACTCTGTTCGTCTGAGCATTTCCCACATCACTTGTACGTCCTCGTACCCACAAGTCTGTATATCGTCACGGAGTTTCAAAAGACCACCACCTGAAGGTGACAAACAATCTGATATCAGCATATTATTCTGTATTCTACATATTGCAGTGGAATCAAACTTAGAATTGCATGAGCCTAACTAAATTTCAAATTTATCAGCAGTTAATTTATCTCTGTTAACTCTTTGAACGTGAAAGAGTAGATAGTTACTGTTCTAGATAATGCTAAATTTGTTCTTAGGAGCCTGGTATTTTCCCACTTGGCTTGAAAATTGAATTTGTTAATCTTGTGTGTGAAACCCACTTAAAAGATTATTCTTTGGTGGGCGTGGGACTAACCTAGCTACCTAATTAAAATCAATGGCTAATAAGCTACTGCTGGGGAGAAGGAATCTTGAAAAAGCATTTTTGGGAAATAAATATTAGAAACCTCTTTGAACTGAGAGGGGTCTTACTCTTAGCCTATCACGGTAAGGAAGGAGCATCAAGGAGGCATCAAGAACCTTTTTTTTTAATAGTGAATTCCAAACAAGTGCAAGAGATATAATACTACTTTACTCCAACAAGTGTCTTCATTGGTATTGGCAGTGCTATTATTTTATCAAAAACACAATATCGTTGGTGAACTCATCATCAGTAAATGAAACGGTCAAAATCCATTATTTTCCGGACTCTTGCTTTTGCACAAAAAGCTTGCTTACAGTGGCTAGATTCAATATCCAGAACCCTTGAAAACGTTGTTTCTGAGTTGATTTTGAATGTACATGGAGCGAAATCTTAAGATGATTTTGATTCTTTTAATACAGGTGTTTGGTGATGATCATTGTTTCCCCAGGTGAAATAGGTCCTACTCCCAACTTGTTTTAGTTTGTCTAAAACTTGCTTGTTGCAGTGAAATCCTTGGCACATACAAATCCAAAATCATCTCTTTCAAAGTTAAAATCTTTCTTTAAGAACCTTCTTTCTTCCGTACTACTATTGAGTCCTTTAATTACAGATCATCTAAATTCAGTATAACTACATAAATAACTTCATAGGAACACTTGTGATATGGTTTCCATGAAGAAATTCTGACCAGAAACTAGAAGATAAGGACTGAAATCACAACACAAACTAATGGTAAGAGACCCTTTATTCTAATGGTTAACCTGTCATTAAAAAGAAAAAAAAAAAGCTTCCCGAGACATCAATATCAATAATTTGGAGGTCAACTCAGGATAACAAGGTTCTGAAAAAGAAAGGAATCTATTGAGAAAAGCATCTGGAATATATATAGTTCCTGAATTTTATCAGAACATAGAAAGGTCCAAAGATATATGCTTTGCCTCAACGCCATTTAAGATGCTTTATTCTTTACCATTCCACTATCTTTCAAGAAATTATTAACTCTAATTAAACTCATTTTTTCCCCTCTTCCATTTCTCCACTAAACACCAATTAAAAAAAGAAATGAAAAAGGATCATTTTTCGGAGTAGAAAAACAAAATTCTCGTCTACCCATCAGGGAAAATCAGGCCAATTCCAACAAGGATGTTAAGTGCAAAACATGAAATTTGAATTCAACCCCGTGTAGAATTTTGATATTCCATGGAATTTGACATGCATGATGCACCAAAAAAGTATGTTATGAAAACTCCTTTGCTAAACAGAGTGATTCAATTTGATGGGTGGGGAAAAAAGAAATTGAGAACCCAAAGAAGAAGAGAAGGAAAAGAAAAACGAACCATTTTTGCGAGCTTTGACACGGGCAGAAACAGCAAACCAAGCTCTCCGAACAGGAAACACCACTTTTTGCCACCAATCCATCATCTTAATCCTCACTTTCTTCCTCCGGTTCCCTCCTCCACCGAGACGGCTCAACAACAACCTTAACCCGGCCAGACCTTATGCTCTCTTCAATCTCCCCACACGACGCATTAATTTTAAAAAAAAAAAAACACACAGTCACACACTGGAAGAAGAAGAAGAAACAGAAAGAGAAGTGAAAACCACCAATACTCTGTTCCTTGAAGAAATGAAAAGAGAGCTCTGTTCTTTTCTAGTTTTAGTTTTTAGTTCAGTGTG